TTATACTAACCAACATAACTAAACCAAATATTACATTATAATTGTTGAATTATTATCTAATATAACTCTCTAATTCAATCTTCGATTTAATATTCAATTCTTTTTTAATTCTTCAAACATTTAATTATTTAAATATTTCTTCATAACCTACTTAGGTAGCTCTTTTGTATAACATTGTTTAAGCATCAACTTATTTTTCTTTCATCTCTTATAAAATAAAATCTCAATCCGATATATTTATTTCTCTTATTTTCGCTAAATTTATGACTAACTTATTGTTAATTTTTAGTGTCATAATCTTTTCTAATCTTCCAAAGACTAGATTCACCAAACTATCGATTCATAGGGTTTGACAAGATGAATAAACAACAACCATGTATTCAGCTGCACAAGAGAAGAGTGCCACAATAGGTTGTAAATTCAAACATCATGAAATCGATGATTTTTCCAATAGGAATACATAACCTAATGTACTTCTGAAACCAACTTTATTTCTAGCCCAGTCAAAATCAGAACATTCAACCAACTTTTCTCCATTTTAATGTGTAGCATTTGTTAATAGAGTATCAAAATCAATAGTTTCTTTAATATATCTTAGAACTCTCTTAACTGCTATAAGATGAGATGTTTTTTGTTTCTCCATAAATTTACTCAGCAACCCAACAACAAAGCAGATATTTGGTCTACTACAACACAAGTATCATAAGCACCAAACATCTTTATGTAAATTATAACATTTACGTACCCATCTTTATCTTTATCAAACTTCAAATTTGTCTTAACTGGTATAATTGTTGCATTACACTCACTCATACTAAACTTCTTTAGCACTTCTTTAACATATTTACTTTGGTTAATCAAAAATATTTTTTGCCTTTGATGAATTTCATTCCCAAAAAATATGACAACTTTCCTAGATCAGTCATCTCAAATTGATCTTGTATCCTTCTTTTAAAATTATCGATCAAAGTAATTTTGTTACATGTAATCAACAAATCATCGACATATAAGCAAACAATTAACACATCATCTTCAATCTTCAAGTAAATCTTATACTCGACTTTATACTTTTAGAATTCTTATTTTTGAAGACAACCATCGATTTTAGTGTTTAAGACCCTTGGAGCATGTTTCAAGTCATACAACGACTTCTTCAATCTAAGAACCTTTTGTTCTTTTCCAGTAATCACAAACCCTGGTGATTGTGTAAAATAAACTTTTTCCCCCAATTCACCATTCAAAAATGCAGATTTTACATTTATTTGATGCATCTACCACCCTTTACATCTAGTGAAACTTACAATTGTTCTTATCGTCTCCATCCTGACCATAGGTGCATACACTTCTTTGTAGTCTAATCCTTCTCTCGGTAGAAAGTCTTTTGTCACAAGCCCGACTTTATGTCTTAGAACAATTCTGTTTGGCTTTAACATTGTCTTGTACACCCATTTTATTCTTATTGATTGCCAACAACTCCTCTTCAGGCTCGACATCAGCATACAATGTTAGGTGTACAAAACCATTATCATCTTCCATTTATGCAATCATCTATCAAGATATTGTGACAGTATCATCAATATTGATCACATAATCATTAAGTCTCATTAGTGTTCTAATCGATCTTGTAGGTCGGTTTCTCCTTCCTTCGATTATTGAAATCATTTGATTTTTCCTTTTTCGATTTTAGAGAATGATTGATTTTCGCTACCTTCAATTTATGTTCTCAATTGATTTTCTCCTCCTTTGATTTTAGAAGAAGCTCAATTTTTGTCTTCGATTTCTATATTACCTGAGTTATTGAAGCTAACACTTCGATTTTCTTTCATCGAAACCCATCTCCAACAATCCTTTTCATCAATGATAACATCTTTACAGACGATGATCTTCTTATTGATAGGATCATACAACTTATATGTATCAGTTGAATGATATCCTACCATAATTAACTTTTAGTTTCTGTCATCGAACTTCTTCCTTCTCTCCTCTGGAACATGCCTCCATACAATCGAGTCAAATATTCTCAAGTGTTTTATATTTGGCTTTCTCTTATATCATACTTCCTCTCATGTTTTCTGCTTCACTCTCTTCATTGGACATTAATTTAAGATGTATATGGTTGTTAATACCACTTCTCTCCAAAATGAATGTGACAAGTCTTGGGTTTTCAACATATTACTGACCATATTTAAAATCGTTTGATTTCTTCTTTACACAACTCCATTGTGTTCTAGTGTGTATAGGGGTACTATCTCATGCATAATATTTTTCTCCTTACAAAATGATGCAAACTCACCATTGTTGTACTCATCATCACCATCTAATATCAATACTTTGATACACTACTACAAAATATACTTTCAACGTCGCCATTTAACGTCGGTTCATCTAGAACCGACGTTAAATACACTTTCAACGTCGGTTCATCTAGAACCGACGTTAAATACACTTTCAACGTCGGTTGGTTAAAAAATGACGTTGAAAGTGGAATGTTGGACACATTCTACGTCGGTTCTTAGTCAACCGACGTAGAAAGCACTTTCCACGTCGGTTCTAGATGAACCGACGTTGAATGTGTTTTCACCCAAAAATTCTCTTAATTTCAAGAATTGTCACTGACAGGATTCGAACCCAGTATTTTAGAGTTGAAAGTTGATACTCCAACCACTAAACTACTGTAATTTTCTGATAATAACTTACAAATTAATTATATTTATATACAAATAAATATATATCCGTGTAAATATATATTTATTTATATATATTTTCTCGGAAAGTGTTTTTATTTTTTTCAGCCAAAAATTTACTTAAGTTCGAGAATTATCACTGACAGGATTCGAACCCAGTATTTTAGAGTTAAAAGTTGATACTCCAACCACTAAACTACTGTAATTTTCTGATAATAACTTACAAATTAATTATATTTATATATAAATAAATATATATCCGTGTAAATATATATATATATTTTCTGGAAAGTGTTTTTATTTTTTTTCAGCCAAAAATTTACTTAAGTTAGAGAATTGTCACTAACGAGATTTTTTGAACCCAGTATTTTAGAGTTGAAAATTGATACTTCAACCACTAAACTACTATAATTTTTTTATAATAATTTACAAATAAATTATATTTATATACATATAAATATATATTCGTGTAAATATATAAATATAGAATATATAAATACAAATATATTTATATATTTTGATATATTTATATATATTTATATAGTTATATAGTTATATATTTATATGTTGGATGTGAAGGCGCGTTCGAGGGTGAAAGTGAGATTGACTCTCGCTTGAGTGAAAATACGTTAAAACTCACGGAAATTCACTCGTTCAAGCCTCGCTTGAGCAAAAATTGGTATTTTTCGCTTGAGCGAATGATGCGTTTCTCATATTTATTTTATATCATTAATAAATTATAAATATTATATTCTGTCATTAAATTACAAACCCATATAAAGAGACTCGCTCACAAATTTGACATCAAATTTTGAAAACTCACTCGACACACTTTCACCTTCGAGCGTGCTCTCACATCCAACATATAAATATATAATTATATAAATATATCAAAATATATAAATATATTTGTATTTATATATTTATATATTTACACGGATATATATTTATTTGTATATAAATATAATTTATTTGTAAGTTATTATCAAAAAATTCGAGTAGTTTAGTGGTTGGAGTATCAGCCTCCAACACTAAGGTATTGGGTTCGAATCCTGTCAGTGATAAAAAATTAATTTGGTAATGCTCTAAACTTTAAAAAAAGATGATAAATAATAAAAATATAATATAAAAGAGAGAGGGACCTAATAAAAATATAATATAAAAGAGAGGGGATTTCTAGATAAATAGAGAGAGGGGAGAGGGGTTGGAAATAAATAAAAATTTTCGATTTGAAAGTCCTGACTTTCAACGTCGCCTGATACAACGTCGGTTCTGGAACCGCCGTTGAAGGCCTTCCAGAACCGACGTGAAAAGCCTTATTTGTAGTAGTGATAGCTCTACCACTTTGTTTCTCAGTCATTGATTTAAAATCGATAAAACAACTAAACATTTATGACTTCTTCTCGAGAAAATACAAAATACATGTTTCCATCTAGTGAAGGAATGTTGAAGAGTCCACACACATCAGTGTAAATATTTTCGAACACATCTTTGCTTTTGATCCCGATGCGTACCTTAAAGGGATTTCTAACTTGTTTTCCTTTCATGTCACCCTCACATATGACTTTACATTTTTGTACTCGAGGTAGTCTAATCACTATCTCTTTCTCTATAAATTGGCTCAAATTATCAAAGTTAAGATGATTATACCTTAAATGCCACAATCAATTGATATCAAAGACTGTTGTTGCAAAATAGAAGTTATTTGATATTGGAATATCGACTCGAAAAAAATTGTTCTTATTCATATGTGCCTTCAAAAATCGGTGTTCCACTCTTATTGATGATTCTCAACATTTTTTCCCTCAATCTCCAATTGATCAAATGTTCTTTCTGAAGAAGTTGTTCAATACTCAACAAATTTTGCTTTATGACTAGAATATAGTGCATATCCAAAATTATTGTATATTTATCATCTCTTCTTTTGATCATTATTCTATCTTTCCCTTCACAACTCATTATCGAATTATATGTAAATTTCACCTTCGACTTCACATTTTCATCTAGATTGATAAACCAACTCTTTTAAAATGATATCTGATTTAAGCAGCCAGTATCCAAATATCAAGATTTGTCAAAAGTCTCCACTAGTTTTGTCGTAGTCACCATTAACAACATTTCATCCTCCGAGTCTTACTTTTGTGCAACATTTGCTTCTTCTTTACCCCAATAGTAAGTAACATAATGGTCATACTTATAACAATTGTAACACTGTACATTATTATTGTTCGCACTAAAGTCTGATTGATCACCTTTCCATTGTGAGTTTATACCAAAATGCTGATAGAATGCTCCTACCCCACCATGCCTGGCCCTTTACCTTACCTTAAGAAAGAAGAAATGGGGGTATGAAGCGTGGGAAAGAATGAAAGAAGTGTCTGATACAACAGGTAACCTTAAGGAGTGGCGGCAAAACTCTTGCTTGATCAATGCGAGTGAACTGTGCTTAGACGCTTCATAAAACCACACTGATCTACAAGAGGAGCTGATGGATGAGTAGGCTTCCCCTTTCGATTTACAGAATGTGATCTGGGACATGATAGGGGGTTTGCGTGCCTCGGTAGGAAAGAGATCACTGGAGTATAGCACAAGATCGCCTTTTTTCTTGCTGCCATGGGGTCGACCTGTAAACAAGGTAAACCCAATGGGAACCAAAAATGGGAGGGTACCACATTGATTGAAATTGGGCAGAAGACGATCCAAAAAGCGAAGGCTCACCCAGCTGAGATCGACAGTGAGGGATGCTTACCTTCTTATAGAGAAAGGGGAAATGGTCAACCTATCTTACTAATAAGAAAGGGGGTGGTATCGACTGAGGTTTTACACCCAGTTGGTGTAAGGGATGAATCACCCTCTGCAGTCGAATTGCCAGAAATGGTGTCGACTGTCCATGAGGCGAACAATCGGTAGCGAGATACAGATCCGGAGAGATCTGGGTCTTCTATCTCAGCATTTGGTTGTTTAACCTCACTCCACGACACATGGAGTCCTATTTGTTTGTGTTTGGTTAACTAGGTGTCTCCCCATGACTGATGCGACATTCAGTCGTTTAGCCAAGTTTTGGTGTTTATTAAGATAAACCAGTTTGGCAAATGAATCCGATTGGATTCGCAAATGTCTTATACTTGAGTATTGACATTTGAGGGCGGTGATCTGGAAGCCATCCCAGTGGAGTTTAGTCCAATGACTGACTTCTGCATCAGGTACTCAAATCGGATAAGGAAAGACATGAAAATGAATTGTTACCTCTCGATTGTGAAGAATTCTCTTGTTTCCTTTTGAGTCTCGTCTATCATTGTTTCTACCTCTTCCTTTTCATCGACCTCTCTTGTCCAATTTTTCTCGATTTCCTTCATTCTTCTGGTTTTGTTTCATCAACAACGTCTGTTTTGTGTTGAACTTTTCTTCCGTTTTCTCTCGTAATCGTTGTTTGTGAGTCTCCCTGTAGTTCATCATATTTCAACAAATCGAGAATATTAGACCATTCGATAGTTGCAGAAAATATGTCGAACCTATCATTAAGGATTCTCATCACTTTCTCCACCAACGCTCATTCTTTTAAGCTTTCACCACAAGACTTCATCAAGTTTATGATCGACAACAATCTTGCAAATTATTCTTGGATGGTTTCTTGCGCGTCCTCATCTGTAACAACTCATATTAACGATGCAAGGTTTGAAATCGTACCACCTTCAACCTCTTTCCATCTGCGTAATTGTGCGTTATTACATCCCATGTTTATTTCCCTGAGTTTGTCAACGAAATCTTCCTAAAGTTGTTTTCATCAACACATTGATAAATGTAGAATATAACTTTGTAATCACATTTCTTTTTCTCTCGAAACATCTCCGATGGGTTCTCTTTTAGTCTCTCAAGTTTATTTAGAATTACGTTCAAAACTTCTTGAAAACAAAAAATGACCTTTATTTTCACACATCAACTATTATACTTGTTCAAGTTCTTGTTATGAAGCATTGACATGTTGTCATGCAACCCAGATCCTGTCATCATTATTCTCTCCTTTTTTTACTTCTTGGATTTTTAAAGTTTTTTATACTACTATTAGCAAAAAAGATTTAAAAACAAATATCGAGAAGATATTAAAATAAAAAAAAGTATAATAAATATAAATTATGTTCAATATAAAAAAAACTAAAATATACATAAATGAAAGTTAGTTAGATTAACCAACTTAACTTAACCAAATATTACATCATAATTATTAAATTATTATCTAACAATTGATTCCTAAATTCATCATAATCTCATAAAAAAAAATTAACAAAACCCATGATTATTTAATTTTTTTTTACTTTTATGACACTCACTCGATCTTCTCTTTTTCTTTTTTTTATTAGTATTATTGTTTATCTTCGTTTGTTTTAAAATAATAAAAATTGTGGTATCCAAACACATTCTTCTATTAATACTGTATAATTTATATTTTGTAGACAAATAATAAAATATTTTCTTAGTACATGTGAGTTCCTTGGAAATAATTAATAGTAGTTAGGAACATACTAGGAAATGAAAATGTTGGATGATTAGGTACTAATGATCCTATTATTCATGGAGTGGAGTGCATTACACGGATTATATAAATGTCAATATGGTGTCTCCCTAATCTCTTATAGGAAAAAAGCGTCATGAGTTACGTAAATGAGTATACTAATCTCCTCGCGTAAAAAGTTTGGAAATTTCCTCCATCAATGTCCCTCATACTCGTTGAAACATCGTTGTCCCAATACTATTTTTCATGCATTCAATATTCTTGTTTCTTTAATAAAAATATCTAATCATAATGGGGTTTATTTTCCGAAAGTATAGCTTTGAACTGATAGGTTGAATTTTCATCCACACACATTTGTTTGGTCAATGTCCTAATTGTTTCAGTTTCAACGTTGAGAGACACAAAGAGGGGAGAGAGAAAGAGTCAGTCACAACCTTTGAAACGCAAGGAAACTTAAGAATAACTTGGTAGAGAAGAAATATATACATTAAGATTTTACTTCATCTTTTTTCTGAATTTATTTGTTTTAAAAAAATGATGAAAAGATAAAATAAAAAATACGTGGGGGTTGAATGGTGATGGATAAGGAAGTGAATGACTAATTGGCGGTTCTACAGTGTTGAGATTGTGACAGGTGACGGCACACCGTATTACAGCCGCCCAACACAACACACAGCATCTAATTTTGGTGCACCGCGTCACGTGGCGCTTTAATATGCAACGTTTTTTCTGGGTCCCACACGCGCTTTACGTGTCACGCGTAGCCTACTGTGCCACCCAAACTGAAACTTCCCTCTCTTCTTCTCTCTTTCCCACTGTCCGCCGTATCACCTGCTCACGCCACCACTTCTCACCCTCCGCGCGTGCTGACCAACCTCCTTCTTCCTTCGTTCCTTGTTTGGGGAGATTCCCACGTGGGCATTGTTTATTAGACTTGGTGACCTAATCTTATATAGTTCGAGAACATTCCTGTAACACTACAAATGATGAAATGTATCCTAATAATATATTTAAATTAATTTGAAAAAAAATATATAAGCTGTGAACGAAAAACAAAAGTTATAAAGTGATAAGAAAATGAAGTGAATAAATGGAAAGATTCATGCGTGTCGAAAGGAAAGAGGAAGAAACGGAAGGAGAAAAGGAAAGCAACGTGAACCCCATAACACATTCCGCTCACGCTCACACTGGGACTCACTCAAAGCGTTTCTCCTTTCACTTCCTAATATATTTTATATTTTAATTTATTATAATTTTATCTTGAAAAAAGTTTAGTTATGTGTGTGGACGGCAAGGCGAGTTAACACGTGGCGTGCAAAGTGAAGACATAGCCGTCAAGACGGTGCGCTTTGTGTGGGGCCCACAGAGGATACTACAAAATCTGATGCTTTGATTCGGCGTCGGTGCAGCAAGAGCAACGCAGCTAACCTAATTAATAAATAAATTATGACGTGCAGCTGCGAATCAATCCTCCTTTTTCTCGTCTCACACTCATTTCTTTCTCATGTGTTGAACCAAACATTAAATTATAAATCCAACTAAAAACTACTACTTCCTCTTGTTTTAGCTATACAATTTTCATTTCTTTATTAAATAAAAATATTTTAGTTAAACAAAATAGTTTTATTTTCATTAATTATTTCTTAAAATAAAAGTATTATTTTAAGAAATTAAAGTTTTAGTAGATTAATTGTGAATCAAATGGTTGATTGTATTTTTCACACATATACATGTTGAAAGATGAAAATATTATTTTATCTTGGACTTGTAATAGAGTTCATATTTACTAATAAGACTTGAGAATCAAGTTATATGTAGCATAATATAACACAATACTTATTAAATATGTATATTATAAAGTTGTAAAGTTACTTATACAAAAGTTAAAGAGGAGGGTTTTTTTTTTATATATATATAAAGTGAATTAGGAACTTTGTATTTATAGCAATAATGTATATATTCTATTATGAAATATAAGATATTTTAATTAAAATATAATAATTATATTATGATCCATGATTTCTTCAATAAAGTGTTATATTAAGTTATATAAAGATACAATATATTATTATATGATGTTTTCAAAAATTAGGATTGGTTTACAAACTAGTGCATTCAATACTTACTTTCCCCATGCCGTAAGTAGTGATAGATGAAGTTTATTTTTATTTTTTACTCTAAGTTAGATAATAAAATGTATAATTATTTATAATTACTTTTACAATTATGTCATAATATAGAATAATATAAATCAATTTTATAATAAATATATATTAATTAAAGTTCTCTATTATAAAAAAGGAGTGAATTATTAAATGTGGGTTATAATATATACATTTAATTTTAGAAAAAAATCGTCTGTAATTTCATATTATTTTTCAATATTTATTGTGTTAATTGAGAAATAAAATATATTTATGAGTCCTAACAGTATGTCCTACGTATCTTTCATAAATTTATAATGTTTTATTTTTGTGATATAATATCTGTTAGTAAATTCTTGTTATAGGCAAAAATATTAAGGTTAAAGTAATTTATTGAGATATTATTTAAAAGTTGTGTAAAGATAGTTAGTCTAATATCGAATATTTATGCTACTAGAAAATATAATTGTTATATAGATTATTTTAAATATTTTATATCAATTATTTAATTAATTTAAATGTTAAAATGTGACAGTTTATATATAATTATAAAAAGAATTAATGTAATATATAATTTTCTATATTAATTCTATATAATTTTTTATATCGGTTCTTTTTTATATCGGTTCTAGATTATATTCGAAGTAAAAATGATATATTACATAGATTTTTTTATTACTGATCCTATATGTTTACTTTAAAAAAACAAATGTATAACATAATTATCAATGTAATATTATTTATTTTTTATATATTTTCACACAATACAACAAAGTAATATCAATAACAATATATAATATTAATGATAATTCTTTTATTCATTTTTAATTAAGTTTATCATATAATCAATAAAAATAATAAGAGTGATTACTTATCTAAAACAATAACAACAAGAGAGACATAAGGTAGTAATGACATAGAAGAATAGTGAAAAATATTTTAAATAATAGAAAATAATTTCATCTTCACTCTTTTTCATGTTAGGATGACTTCTAACAACTGGATAATTATATAATAACTTTGTTCCATTGCGGTGACCAAGCAATCTTTAGAGGGGAAGAACTTTGAAAAAATAAAACTCTAAGACAATGAGTTTTGGAGAAGATTTTCATAAAGGAAAAACTTTGAAAAATATGATTTTTGCAGAGGACGAGATTTGAGAGACTTCAATGACAATAATGACACAACAAAGACAATAGTTTTGAAAGCAATAGTAAAAAAATGAGAAGACACGAAGTAATAATATATAAATAACTTTTTACCTTGTTGTATTATCGATTGATGTAAAAAGTTCATTAATTATTTCAAAAATATATCTTCGTGTTTATATTTAAATTAGTTCTCATATAATTAATATAGATAACGCAATGTAAAAAGACGATTTTGCACTAGTTTATTTTCCAATCCTTAGAGTTTATTTATTGTGTTAATTGATAATTGTTAGGTCTTTATGAGTCCCAACAATCTATAAGACATATATCCTTAGTAAATTTATGGTATTTCAATTTTTGTGATGATACAATATCCATTGTAATTTCTTGTTATAAGCAAATTTCTAGGATTAAGGTGATTTCTTAAGAATACTCGTGTCCAAAAGTTTTGTTTAAAGGTGGGTAAATCTAATACAAAAAGAGTTTATTATGCTTAATGAGGATCAATGTCACTATACTTTTATGCATCATTTACTAAAAAGAAAGATCTCATTATTATTTATTCTAGCAACTACACCAATCCAATATCATCCAATATCGAAAGCCTTAGTAAATATGGAATTGATGTCAAACTTTTGATATTACCTATTCTATTGTGAAATAGAGATAATGCAGTAAAATAAATTGATTTTATTTTAAAAAATTATGTTTTAAAATAAGAGTGTTAGTTTAATTCTATAAAAAAAATTATATCATATTTTAAAACGAATCTAATTTATAATAAGTTAATATGTTTAATAGGTATTTTTCATGCATGTTTTTATCTAAATTCACAATGAAGTTTATATTTACTTATTAGGATTCTAAAAATTAAATTGAAATATAGCCAATTAATATCACATATTGAATATAAATATAATTTATTTTGTTGAAGTAATATTTATTGATAAAGTAATATAAGAGTCATGTTTCTCAAAAAATAATGAGTTAGTAAATTCATATGAAATAAATATATTTTGATCAATTATTTCTTAAAATGAAAGTATTACTTTTAGTTATATGAAGAGACAATAATTATATAATAATTATACAATGTTTCCATAAGAATTAGGTATGTTTGTGCACCAATGTGTTAGATAGGTACATTTATACAAATGGTAACATTGGTGGTTGAAGATGTTTTTTTCTTTTACTATAAATTCATAATTTAGTGTATATTTACTTACCATGACAACTTTAATAACTAAGTTAGAATCTATAATAACAAAGACAATGCATATTAAATATGTATTTCATTAAAGTTGTAAGATGATATTTGTAAGAAAATATAAAGAAATTATGTTTCTCGAAAGATAAAGAATTAATAAATATTCATAATTATAATATATGTATTCTATTATAAAATAAATATATTTTAGTTAAAAAAATTATATATTAAAAAATTAGGACTAATTATGAATACATTCGATAATAAATTTTTGTGCATGTTAAGTATTGATATACTAAGATTTGTTTTTACTTTAAGTTCATAATGAATATATATTTACTTACAAAAAATCTTATAATTTATATATTTATATGATTAAAGTTGTAAAGTAGTACTTGTACAAAAGTGATAGACCGTTCTAACAGTAGTGTAAGTTTTAAAGTACAATATATGTATTATTTGACATAAACATAAACATAATAATAATAATAATAATAATAATAATAATAATAATAATATTATTATTATTATTATTATTATTATTATTATTATTATTATTATTATTATTATTATCATTATTATTATTAAGGATAGTTTCGTTGTTAATAATTGGCCACCAAATGATAATAATCTTTTAAATTGAATTTAACATGTGGTTAACTTTCAAAGGGTGATAGAAATATTTAATTATTGGTGACTAATATTCAAATAATAATGATTCTTCAAATCAAATTTAACTTGTGGTCAACATTGAGAGGATGTTAAATATTTAATTGTTAGTGATTAAGTGCAAAATAATCATAATTATTCACATTAAACATAACACATGATCAATTAAAAACATAAAAATATGATTTAGCCGTTAACCTTGTCCTCCAAATGATGATGGTGCATCGAATTAAACTTATTAGTACATAATCATCTAAAAGATAAAAGTGAAAGGATTAAGGTTGAAGCATGTTCAGCCTTTATCATTCCTCTAAAATACATATAATATCTTTCAAATTAGGAAGATGATTAGTGATGGAATATTTATTAAATTATTAATATTAAAACTAATAAATATATAATAATAAAATTAAAAAAATGATTTGATAAAAACTCATAATATGTGCATAAATTCATAAATTTTCTAACAAAAACATTTACTTTGTTATCACAAAACTGCTTTAGAATATGTGCATACTGTTGCTTTTTTTCTTTGGTAGTTGGTCTGAATGTAAATCTTGACCAGAAGAAAAACATTGGGTCATGTTATAATCTTTAAATGCTATCTTATCTAAAATAAGTTGTAGCCATAATTGTCTAAATAACTTTACTGTTTTATTTAATGTCGCTTTATAGCTTTTTCAAATACATATTTATTCAATCATAGGGTATGCTTCAATCCGAATAATGACCTTGCATCACATAAATACCTCATTAATGACTAAATAAAAATGGGATTTCAACTTAGAACAATATTAGGCTTATGGGGTATAATTAGGATGACACTTTTATTTTCTTTTAGGTCAAATATATGACTCTAGAAACCTAATGTTATTTTGCAAAGTAAAACTCTTGATTTATATACAATTAGTGTTTCCCACTAATTGAACAAAGTGATTATGATGAATGGTTGGCATGTTTCCAATTATTACAAAATGAATGCGCGTAGAATGCTTGTTGGAGATAATCAGTAGCAGCATACTTGGACTCTGAATTAATTATGGTTTGCACGTATCCAACTTTTTTTTTTCTTTTCAAAGGAGCTTTTATGCTCACATAAATAGTAGTAATTTGATTAGTAAGTTAAAATTTATATTTAAACATAATCCATGTTTATTATTTTAATAACTCGTCATGGTTATACATGTGGAATTATTGAATAACTTTCATTGGAAAATCAAAATAAGTCAAACCTCACTTTGTAAACCACATGTTTCATAGTATTTTATTTAATTTATGAAATTTATAACAACTCTGATTTTAATTGACAAGAGTAACGCTTGGATTAGATGCCCAAACTATAAATTAAACAATATAAAGATGAAAAAGTAATTTCCTCCACGATTCAATTTGGTCTTAAAACGGTAAAAGACTCTCTCAACGTGTGCACAGAAAAAGTAAGTTTAGGCCACAAATTTATTTGTAACAACAACCTTTAATTTGTCCTAAAACCACAAAAAACCTTCCTTGAAAGATGCCTATCACAAAATTTCGAATAACTTCAAACTTACACACCACATAAACAATAAATAACTTTCTCATTTTTTGAATCTTGATTTGTAGATTTTTTTTCAGGTATGTCTTTGTAACATAAAATTTAGGACAAGAGTCAATAGTATAACCTTAAAATCGTGATTGTATTGAAACTCACGGAAAAATTGCGAAGTAAATAAAAACTTGCATGAACCTGATGAAAAGCATAATAGTAATTATTTATTATCATATCGCAAGGCAAGAAGGAAAAAAAAATGCAGGGAAGTGAAAAGCAGAAATTTAATTAATTAAAATTAACATTAGCCGGAATTACATGAGATGTCACATAAAACTATACCAGATCTAGACAATCTTAGATCATGACCCTTTGTTAATATCGAAGGCCTAAAAGGACACAAAATTAACCTATTTACATCAAAGGATGTAATATATAATAATACAATATATAATTAACATCTAATACTCTCTGTCTAGCTATCTATGATATAGAAGATTACTAACTAATCTACCTAAATAAAAAAGAAAAAAAATTTCCTCAGTCCTTTCCTTTTTGCTGATTTTTTTTATTAGGGTATGGAAAATTAAGAGATTAATGGAGTTTAATAATCCATAGGCGGAGCCAAGTTAAGATCGAGATTGAGTTCTCTTTTGGGTTGACAATCAACGACGGATGAGGAGTCGGAGTCGCTCTGAACCGGGGCCGGTTCGAACCGAAAGGGGAATTGGTGGGTGAGGTAATGGGCCCGGTCGAGGAGGAAAACCGGGCGCATGGGAGTGACCGGGGTAACGAGGAGCTGCTGCTGGATCGGGAGGAAGGGAAAGCGGTCGATGACGGCGGGAGCGGCGCGGCGCGTGACGTCACGCTCCGGGGTGGCGGACTCGACGGTGCTGCTCTGGCTGGGGCTGCTGCTGCTGCTACCGTTGTTTTTGTGGGAGTTAAGGTTGTTATTGTTGTTGTTAAGGTTAAGTTTAAGGTTATTGGTGGTGGTGGTGGTGTCGGGGAGAGGGGGAAAGTTGGTTTTGGCTTTAGGGCCGCGGAAGTTGCGGGCGGCGGCATCGTATGCTTTAGCGGCTTCCTCGGCTGTGTCGAAGGTGCCAAGCCAGACGCGGGATTTCTTTCCAGGGTCGCGGATCTCGGCGGCGTAGCGGCCCCAGGGGCGCTTGCGGACGCCGCGGTAGTGGACCTCGTCGGCGGCATTGCTAGACTTCTTGTTCTTGATGACGGTTTTGTCCTTGGCGACCATGGTGACGTGAAGCGATTAATGGAGAGAGTGCAGAAAGATGGATGTTGGGTGAATGGGTGGGGTTGGTATTTATATAAAATGTGCGGTGGTTTATGAGGAGAGAGAAACCGAGAGAGAGGGTGGAGTCAAAGAATGGTGTGTGAGGTGTGACGACGTGTGAGTTGTGAGAGAGAGACGCCGCCCAAAGGAAATAGAGGGTTACGTGGCACGCGGGAGTTTCGAGACAAGCGGCGAAGGTGGGGTTTCATGCGTGCCGGCTTTTAACCTAATTCACTCTCTTCTCATCCTTCGTCTGCTACACTCGCTTTCCTTTCTCTTTCTATTCACATTAATTTCCTCAGATTTATTATAATTAATTGCCTTCACCACGTATTTATTCCCTTCAAATAAATTAATTTTGATTTTGCCTGCGTGATTTTGATTTTTTTTTTAAATTTCTTCTTTTCCAAACATTTTCACTATGACTAGACTGTACGATGAAGAGAGCTTAATCCATCGTTATTCAAGTGAGAAAATATTTTTAGAAATCAAAGAAAACGTTAAAAGGATAAGAAAAACAAAAGTATATTATTAAATGTCTATCATCTCTCCCTCTTTCTCTCTCTCTCTCTATATATATATATAAAGTAAGTAAAAATTGGGATTTTAATTTCATAAATTTTGTGTTATTTAAGGACATTTTTTTTCTATAAATACCGATTTTTTCTTCCCTCTAAATTATTATTTTCTTTATGTTCACTAACGATAGTCACAACACAAGAAATTTACATTTTTGTTTTGGGTTCCATGAAGAGGCGATAATGCGGTTGACATCATCGCTACCCAATGAGACGTCTGTATTTTATTCTAACATGTCTTGTGAGAAATGGTTGATTTTTATATCATTTAGTTGTGCTAAGAACACAATTTAGTAGTTTAATATACAAGGAAGCTTACAATGTAATAAAGAAATATAAAAGAAAGTGTCGTTGGTACGCGCTTTTGCGGAAGGAGGTGAAAGTGAAAGCAAAAGCAAAAGGAAGTAGTGTGTTTTGTTTGGATAGTAATGACCAAGTCTAAACTAGTTACCAAGTGTCAGCGTTGATGGGTACATACCCATCACCAAAATTTCACACAACTAAGAGTAATATTATGTGTGATGGATGGATATTTTTGAATGGTTCCATGAGACAGTTTGGTGAATGGGGAGTGAACCTGGTGCAGTGGGAACGTGTACACCAACACACGCGTCACTTTCTTCCTCTTGACGCGTTTGTTTCGGTGCATCCAAAATCGCGTCCTGTCCCTCTCCCTCTCGTTAATCAATCAAACAAACACCTTGTGTGCGTGCCGCGAGTCGCTTCACTATCCCTCTCCCACCGCGCCACGCGTCGCGTGCCGCGACCCCGCTTTGCTCTCGCGTTTTGCACCGCACGATCTCAGAGGGGTCACACACGCACGCGCTTCGAGCGTGACGGGGCGAGAAAGCGAGTAGTGAAACGTAATGGTGCTAAATTTGTGCCTGAAAGCATGAAGCTACGAAGAAAAGTAGAAAACCGTAATTAAAATTGTGGAAGTGTGGCGAAAAGGTAACATGGATTACGGGATTTGGTTTTTTGTGGTACATGGATTAGGGGAGAGTAAACTTGATTTCTTCGTTTTTCAAGATTACTGGGTAGTTGAGATTAGGCTTATTTACAGGACGAAGCTATCACATGGTTATTTATAGGATAAAAGCATTAAAATCTGGGATTTTTCCTTGAAATCACTTACTATCCATCACCTATTTCCTTAATGATTTGTTTGGTTAGAGTGATTTGAGAGAGTGAAAATGAGAGTGGAAAAGGAGGGATTTGAAGAGAAATTGAGATGAAATTAAAGTTGTTTGGATGAATGGAAAGTGAAAGGAAAATTTATGGGAAATTGTGAATGATTTGATTGATATGAGATATAAAAATTATAATTTTAATTGATTATTTAAGAAAATTACCATTTTACCCTTTGTATAAAATAAAGTTCAAATGATTATAAATATAATTTTTTAATTAATTATCCATATTTTAACATTGATTATATATAGTTAAAAGAAAAAACAAATTTAAAAGTATTTGTAATTGGAAACAAATTTACAAAATTAACTTTTTTTAGATAGTTATTAAAAATTATATAAATAAACAATTACAAAATTAGGTACATTGCATATCCATATTCAAATAATGTTGACATATTAAATAAATTATTTGACTAATAATTAAATAATTATAAAATATAAAATAATAATTAATATTGATTGATAATAACAAATAATTATGAAAACTAATAATATAATTGTACATTATTATTTAAAACAAATATAAAATACAAGTGAAAATAGAATAATAATTAAATAAAACATTACTAAAATTATAAACGTATGCACACTAATGTTCTTCAAACAAATAATTATAATGTTATTCATCTTTTGCGATCAAGTCCTCCAGGTTCAGATCATTCAATCACTTACACTCAAAATTGAGAATACTCTTATACATTTTGAACTCTTTTGGATAAATTTTGTTTCCCTAATTTTTGATAAAGTTAATTTTAATATTTAAAATTATTTAACATTTTGAATTCCGAAAGGTTTTCTCTAATAGCAAATTAAAAAACATAATATTCAAAAAAATATTTTAAGATTCAGTCTCGGGTTGTATTTCGCTTGAGCGATACTACTCTCGCTCGAGCGAAATAAGATCCTGATCGATCATAATTTAAAATGATCGGTCATAATTGGAGGATATAATAGCGGTTCCTATGTAACCGCTATCTAAAGTGTATATTAGATAGCGGTTAAGGTTTAACCGCTATTATAAGCTCCCTATATACAACCTTTCTTCGATCTCGGGTTGTGTTTCGCTTGAGCGACTATATCTCGCTCGAGCGAAATTTTATTCTCATCGATTAGATTTTCGAAATTATCGATCATATTTGATAATTTTTTCAAATAAATAATTCTAATCGATTATTTTTCTAAATTATTGATTAGAATTGATTAGTTTTTCAAATAATAGTTTAGAATTGATTAATTTCTGAAATATATATTAAAAAATTATAATTAAAAATATATATTATTTAAGAATATTAACTATTGTAAAGATAAAGTAGAACATGGGAGGAGATGAAGATGATAATATAATGATAGAAGTTACAAAAATGTAGAATTGAGAAGTTTGAAACAAAAAAAATTAAGAAAATGGAGATTTAATTACACTTTTAATAAATTGAACATAATTACAATATAATTTTCTACTCGAGAATGAACAATATAATTAAGAAGATCAAGTGTAATGTTATTGATGCTAATTTTAACAATAATACAATAATATTATTTTCGAAAATGTCCATATGAATGTGAATATTTTGATTATTATTATATAAAATAATTAAAAGAATAAGGTAAATAGAAAAGTAAAATGCATGGTTATATCACTTTCCTTTTAATCTATAATTAGTTAGGTATGAAGCAAATGTAAAGTCTAATGTTATTGATGCTAATTTTAAGAAGATCACAAAATGTAAATTAAAATAATTACAATATAAATTTCTACTTTGAGAATGAACAATATAATTAAACTCAAAATTGAGAATACTCTTATACATTTTTGAAATCTTTTGGATAAATTTTGTTTTCCTCATTTTTGATAAAGTTAATTTTAATATTTAAAAGTATTTAACATTTTGAATTTTGAAAGGTTTTCTCTAATAGCAAATTAAAAAACATAATATTCAAAAAAATATTTTAAGATTCAGTCTCGGGTTGTAATTCGCTCGAGCGATACTACTCTCGCTTGAGCGAAACAAGATCCTGATCGATCATAAATTGAAATGATCGATCATAATTGGAGGATATAATAGCGCTTCCTCTGTAACCGCTATCTAAAGTGTATATTTGATAGCGGTTAAGGTTGAACCGCTATTATAAGCTCCCTATATACAACCATTCTTGAGTCTCGGGTTGTGTTTCGCTTGAGCGACTATATCTCGCTCGAGCGAAATTTTATTCTGATCGATTAGATTTTTGAAATGATCGATCATAATTGGTGGATATAATAGCGGTTCCTCTGTAACCGCTATGTAAAATATATATTAGATAGCGGTTATGGTTTAACCGCTATCTAAAATATATATTAGATAGCGGTTAAGGTTTAACCGCTATTATAAGCTCCCTATATACAACCATTCTTGAGTCTCGGGTTGTGTTTCGCTTGAGCGACTATATCTAGCTCGAGCGAAATTTTATTCTGATCGATTAGATTTTCGAAATCATCGATCATAATTGGTGGATATAATAGCGGTTCCTCTGTAACCGCTATGTAAAATATATTAGATAGCGGTTATAGTTTAACCGCTATCTAAAATATATATTAGATAGCGGTTATGGTTTAACCGCTATCTAAAATATATATTAGATAGCGGTTATGGTTTAACCGCTATCTAAAATATATATTAGATAGCGGTTAAGATTTAACCGCTATCATATGGAGAAGACTAAGTACGTCTTTTCTTATTTGATGACGTGTCTTTCTCTTCTATCCTCGCAAATCTTCTCACATCTTCAGGGTGAGCTTTCCTCCCCTCTCCCACAAATCCGCGCCTGCAAATCCTCTCAAATCACTTGCAACAAACGAATTTCATCTCTCATTTCTGTCTTCGTGAACAGTAAATCAGTTCAAACAAAGACACTGTAAAAGCAATTAATGTTCATGTACGTGACATATCCAAAGTGTAGGTATTTTAAATCAATGATATTTATTTACATAAGAAAAAAATGGTATTATTTGGCAAATATGAGGATGTGTGTGGTAAAATTAACTCAGAAGTTTGAGTGAATCTTTTACTGGTATTTTTAGTTCAAAGTTTGTTAACTTTATTAATCATATTTGATGAACAAGTTTATTTTATTCGTTTGTAATGATTCTGATAAGTCGTTGGTGTGTTATTTTTTTATGTTTTATTCTCTAATAATTTTTTTATTTACTAAAAAGAATTATATATTTTTTTTAAAGTAGAAATTTATTATTTATTTGGTGAATCCTTATGGATCTTAAAGTCAATTCTTACTTTATGGGGTTAGTTTATTCTAGTGTATTCAAATGATAATTCAAAGTGTGGAAAGAATAAATAAACTAACGAGTGGTTTTGAAATAACCAGTCAAAGGATATTAATATACATTTTTATGTCGAGTTTAGAGTCATTTATTTGTTAGGTTTTCTTTTGTTACGAACTCTCTTGCAAATAACTTGTCACAACATCGTAACTTATAATTCACTTAGTAATGCTTGAAGAACATGGTAACTTTATTTATCACTTTATGAATTATTAATAGATTAACTTGCTATAGTAAGACACTTACCATCATTCTTACACACATGACACACCATTTTTATCATATTTTACACACTTTATTTTTGCACCTTAAAAAAAATAAAAATAAAAAATCAAGTATTCGTGTCATTATTAGCTTTATGTTACTCTACGATTCAATCATCATTTTATTAATCTATAAATTTTAGGGGCTGGATTATGTCCTAAATTTGAATTAATTGATTAATGATTATGCTTACATTTATTACATTTGATAATTATTGTTTTAAAATATTTGATATTTAGTAAAAAAAAACGTTTATAGATATATCTTATTTATAAAATTTAACTTTATATATTAATTATTTTTTGTATAATTATACCATTGTTCTTTTAATTATATGAGAAAACATAACAAGTTATAAAAGTGGTTTTAAATGAAGAGATTATTAAGATGATAAGAATATTAATAAAAATAAACTAATAAATTTATTGAAAATAATAAAAACTAATATTTATCTTGTGTAACTCAATATTAAATAATTTATATTTAAAAACAGAAAATACACCCATATTTATCTATTGAATACATAAAATGATGAATCTGATATTTAATTGAGAGACCAAGGACTAAGAAGGATCACGTGCTCATAACAGTGTCATTCTAAAGTTTAATTGTGGAAAAAATATAAAAATAGAAAGTGACTAATACAGAAAAGGAAAGGAAATTATTTTTTTCTCGTTGATAGTTAGAAAAGAAAAAAATAAATAAATATATATATATATATATATATAATTTTTTCAAAACTATCTTTACTTAAATAATTATTTTTTTTTTATATTTAATATATGATGAAGTTTTATATTAATATAAATATCAATCATAAATTTGTATGCTTTAAATTAACATTACTAACCATAAGTAGCAATAAAATATAATACCACGAAGTTTTACGTAATGTTTTTAAGGAATGAAATAATAGAAAGTGTTGTGTAATATAAATGTGAATTAAAATATTATAAATAGGAATAAGAAAGTTGATTAATATATTAAAAAAATAATATCTATAATTAAATATATTAATATTTTGAATTAAAAATAGTATTTTATCGTTTGAAGAGACAATTTTATACCATGTATGACAAGTTTGATTTAGTAGGACTATTTCATTCAGTGACGAAGATGATATTTATAATAAAAAAATATATTGAAATCAAATAAACTTATGAAAAGTAAATATAGGGCAATAAAGAAATTAATAAGATCACATTTCTTCGAAACCTCCAAATATATTAATGCCTTTAAATAAAAATTTTAAGACAGAACATTAAATCAATAAAAGATCATATATTTTAAAAATCTACAAAAATAAACAAGTAAATAAGGCCCTAAGTTACATATTATTTGGAATATCAAATATGAATATCGTTAATAATAAAATTTTAAACTTTTAGAAAAAAACATAAATTTTATTAACCGCAGTGTAATATAAGTTCATAGTTTTAATTTTATTCCTTCCGTTATCTTATAACTTTAATTTTTCATTCATTAACTTATACTCGTATTAACATAAGTTAATAGTTTTAATATAAATTAATTATTAGGAAGATGTTTCTTATAATTTTAAATGTATAAATATATAAAAAATAATTATTTTATTTAAAAATAAGATTATAAATATGATAACATTATTATTTCACAAATATTGTATTTAAGGTATTATTTATTTTAAAATTCTAATTAATTATGATTTTATTGTTAAAAAGTACCTTAATAAGTTAAAAAAAATTATTTTTAATATTGATTCTTAATTTATATAAAACACAAGAACATACAAGAATATTAACAATTTCGTCTTATTTAATAAAATTATATAATCCCGGAAAGTTAAATTAAATTAGAAAACTTCAATATAATACACTCAATTTTACGACTTGATAAGGTATACTAATTAAATAAAACCTAGGTAATTTTAACATTTATAATTATCTAAAAATATATTATTTAAAACTTAAACAACATTGTTTATCTTAAACCACAAAGTTATTCCCTCAACAAATTAAGTATATATTTAAGTTCGTTCAATTATGATTATGGTGACTAAGCTAAAGTTCTTTTAGAGTGTTATTTCACTTTAATAAGAAAAAATTATAAACGATTGAGCGACTATTAAACGAAAACTAAGTTGTGACATTATTATTTCATATGCTTAAGAGAAAATAAGTTCGAGATTCCCTCTCTAAAATTATAAGTTTTGCCCTTAAAGAAAAAACTCTTACTTTAATAAAAATTATGTAAGAAACTAAAACATATACCTCTACATACAAACTCATCGAAAACATTTCCATCATATTTTTCATTGAAAATAAAATGTATTTTTCTATATTGATCATGTTTTAATAATTAAAAAATTACTCAAAACAATACTTTTAAAAGATACTCAAACATGTTTTTATAATAAAAACTCAAAAACATATTAATATAACTAGGAACTTAGATTATAAAAAAATATTATTTATTTTTTTCAATAAAAGTTACACATGTACGAAAGAATAAATCATGTATGCACGAAGGAAGAAAAGAGGAAAAAAAAAAAAAGAGAGTTTATTATCATAATAATTGTTTCACTCCTTAACCTTAAAAGAAAAAGACTAAGAGTTTAAGATTTTAGAGAAATTTGAAATTAAAAAAAAAAAAACTCATCTAAAGACACAATTTTTTTAATAAAATATTTTTTATTTGTAAATTTTAAAAACTTTAAAATAATATTTAATTTAAAATGTGTGAAGGATAAATTTTTCTATTAATATTTCTAAAATAAAAAATATTACTGAAATTTAACATTATATAAGAAATTTTTTATATAGTAATTGATATATAAACTATTTTTAATTATAAGGAAATAGAAAAAAATAGTCTAAACGGTCTTAAAAACTGCAATAAATAATCAATTGCAAACAAGTTGGAAGTACTGTAAATATTGGTACACATTAATAAAGGGAACTCACTCACTCTCAAGAGGATCCCTCGTAGCTTTTGACGTCACACTCCACTATGGGTCAAGTTCCAACGTTACCAAGACACTAACTTTTTATTTTATTTTTTCTAACATTAACCGTTGAACCTCACGGTCCCGGTCCCGGTCCCACTCCACGGCCACAGCACCGTCACATTTGAAAAAATGTTAAAACTATAAACGCCGTCTTTTTCCAACGGCTCTTACAACACTGGTTACATTTACACTTCATTCATTAAACCATACACACAACTCAAATCTCACTGCATTCACTCTCTCTCTCAATTTCTCATTCAAATTCATGGATTGTTTTTCTTCCCCTTATCTCCACCACCGGTGTCGAACAAAGTCATCGTCCCGTTCGGTTCGCAAGGACGAGAACTCGGTTCCTGTGGAGCCTCTTCGAATTTCCCTTGACTGCATTCAGTCACCGCCGGCAAAGCCTTCATCGAAGTCTCCGTTGTCTCTCCTCCGATCTCCGACGAGCTCTCTTCCGCTCAGGGAGCTTCTCATTCTCTCCCCTTCTTCGGCGCAGAGGTCTAAGGCGCGATTCGACGAGGAGGCACCTGAGGCTGCCGGAGTGCGGCGCCGGTGCAAGAACCGGACGGCGTCACCGAGGAGTTCGCGACGTTGGAGGCGTGAGGAGAAGGAGGGAGCTCCGGTAGAAGAGGCTGTGAAACAGAAGAAGAGGAGGCACAGTGGGAGACACAGAAAGGAGAGGCTCAGTTTGGTGCCTTTTCAACCACCTTCAACCTCATCTCAAAGTATGAATAAATGCAATGTTCCTGATTACTAGGATTTAGAAGTTAGATATGTTAGTTAAGGATGCTCATAAATTAAAGTATTTAGCTTATTTAAGTTGTTATATACATACAGTACATTTTTGCACACACAGAGTTGGAAATTTACCTTGTGATCACACATTCTATTAACAAGTAAGATAAAAATATCAAATTTATACTAAAAATGTTTTATACTCACTTATATATGTTTAATTTATATATATATATATATATATATATATATATATATATATATATATATATATATATATATTACTTTAAACTAATCATAGGTCACCATCAAAAAAGGTAGTTGTTATAAAATTTATTGTAATTTTTATACTTGATATTTTTCTATTGGAGGCTAATTTTATGATATATAAGTTCTTGCATGATGGCATGCTAAATATTGAATCTTTTTTACTATACAGATAAGAAGCTAAATTTTTCTGTTACTAGATTTGGTGGTTTACTAGAAGATTTATGTTACTAAATTTGTCTGAGTTTTGTCTTGTTTGTTGCTCTGTTTATTTGGTTTCATTTAATGTTATTTTGAAGCATAGTATATATGGATTGATGTGTTTACTTTGGTTTGATGTTTAGAAGCTGATGAAGAGAATGGGGGTGATCTAGATAGTGTTGGGGTGTTCATTGCTGATTTGATTATGTGGAGAGATGTTTCGAAATCCACCCTTTGGTTTGGTTTCGGGTGTCTTTGTTTCTTGTCTTCTTGCTTCACCAAAGGAATCAATGTTAGGTCTGCTGTTTCTCTCTTCATGCTTTTACTCTTTTTGTGTGTCTCTCTTGTAGAAGAGTCTGACACAGTTCCCGTGCTTCCCATTTCAGCGTTTTCTCAGCCATGTCACGATTGGCAATTCTCTTGTTGGGTGTTTCCTTCTTCTCAAACTCAGTTTTCCAAAGGTAATGTCAGTTTAGTTTGTCATGATGTTGTTTTCCTTCTAAAGCAATCCTAGTTCTGGATGCGGATGTACTCAACTAATTTGTGTGTCAATGTGTTCAGAAACCAGGTCCAGAAAAGGAGTTTTACCAAGCTGAAAGAAAATGATATTTTACATCTTACAAAATTGATTCTTCCTGCATTAAACTTTGCAATTTCAAAGACTAGAGAGCTGTTTTCGGGAGAACCGTGCATGACCCTGAGAGTAATCTCTTAAACCAAAATCATGGTTTCCTGATTGTGTGCAAATTGTTTTTTGAAGTGTTAGTTTATTCCATCAGATTATATTTTAACTTTTTTGTTGTTGTTGCAGGTAGCACCTTTCCTTCTACTTGGAGCGGAGTATGGTCATCTTGTAACAATTTGGAGGCTCTGTGCCATTGGTAAGGACATCATTAACTCTGTTATGTTCCACATTATCATGTTTTATTTTATATTGTAGTTCTGATTATGCATATCTTACTAAATTGCTATTCCCATACACGAGCAGGATTTTTTGTTAGCTTCAGTGTACCAAAGCTTTATTCTTGTTACTCTGCTCAGATAAACCAGCGAGGTATAATTCCAGCCTCTTATTAACAACATTTTAGGTTGATCCAGATTTGCATTTTACACTAAGATAAGGCTTTGCCATGCAGTGGAGTACTTGAAATTGCGTTCATTGGACACATGGAGTGCTTGTGCTCACAAGAAGAAAGTAGTCGCATCGGTGCTTATTACCTTCTGGAATCTATCTACAATAAAAACTCGAATCTGCGCAGGTAAAATCTCCAGTAAACTACTCGTTTAAGTAATTTTGTGTTAGATCTGACTAATATATACTATTTCACTGCCTTTCTGCAAAAGAATGCATGACTATTTAAGCATCAACAGTCTTCAAAATTGTAATGCGAGTCTCGTCTAACTTGGAATATAAAACCAGTGTTTACTTGAAGACAGATTTTTGCTCCTTCATATTTCCTTGGCGGAAAGTGATCTTTAAAAGATTCATTTTGTCTTAGGGTCTGGATTTGCTTAATTGCACATTTGGCAACTTTGCGACTGAGAGTTGATTCTTATGATGTAATTTTCTTTGCAGCATTTATATTGCTTGTAATACTCAGATATTTCCGGCAAGATATCATGGAACATGTAGAAGCTGATGAGGTGCTAGAGAAGGATCAGCACCAGGCAGTGGTGTTGGTGACAGAACATGAGGAAGATGAACTGCAGCGTGCACTAGTGGTTGCTGAACGAAAGCGCCAATGCTAGAAACTTTCTTGACCCAGAGCCATTTTTAAACAGAGCACGAATATGCATCTTGCACCCACAGATGGCTCATTTATTTGCAGTTAATTAGCAATAAAATGTGCTTTGATAGTCAACCATGTTCAATATTTGCAATCACAAAGCTTTCTATAGTCATAGTCAGCCTGTTCAATAAATCGTGTATTCATTCATTTCTTGACACTTAGCACGGGGCCTGTCTTTGTCGCTAGGTGAAAAATAATAAATGTTGTTTTATTGCACAAAATGTTTAGTGCACAAATGCATTAAATATTAATATTAATAATTCATATACAAGGAAATCTATCTTTGTAACAGACAATGTGTTTCAGGTTGGATAAGAATAGAAATGTGAATCCAGGCCATTAGAGTCAATCTAGTGGTGAGGTTTGGGTAGTAGTACTCTAGCCTAAAATGATTGCATCTTTAAATTTTTTTCATCCAATTTAGAAAACAATAAAATGTCATTCATTGATTTTTTTTTTTTTACTAAAATAACACCACTCACTCAAAAAATCATTTGTATGTTGCATAAAAATATGGATGTAATTAATTTGGGATAAATTAGGAAAAGGTATAAGTTTCATTGAAATTGAGAACATCAGTCAAGTTAATTTTTTTAAAGTTAAAACTATAATTATTTTGGGATATACAAGTACGAATATGATGTGACATAATTAATAAATAACTTTGCCTCTTAAATATGTGGTCAGGATTTGATTCCTAATTCGAGCATATGGAAAAATATTGTCGAAACAAGTCAACCTCTAAAATAGATCTCAGTACCTTAAAAGATTAGTCTTTTGGCTCCTGATAAAGGACACCCTAGTTTATTCCAACAAAAAGTTCTAATTTTATTGTAGCCATAGTGCACTTAAAAAAGAAATTTAAGTCAAACCGAGACAATAATCACATTACTAAATGCTGAGAATTAACTATTCAACTTTTTTCCTATGAATTCAAAAAACGGATATTAAATTTAAATGAGATAAAGGAAAATAACCCCAGAATTTGAATAAAGAAAACCCTTTTCCATTTTAGGAAAAGAGCTGAGACGTAATCCAGTAAATTATCTGCATAAGAGGATCTATACCTTATTAGATGGTGAAGATGCAACTCTCCCTTATGCAGTACTACAATTACTTTCACTTCTAATGGATGACAATAATGATAAACTCGTAGCTCCTCATGTCCTTCTCTCCTTGTAAGTTGTAATTTCTATCTTAAATGTAATAACTGATTCCTCAAAATTAGTTACATCTTTGTAACTTCTACGCCTCTATTAGCATCTCCATGACTAACTTTCTCAATCATTAGATACTAATGGTTCCTTGATTTAGTGCCGCTCAGCAAGCTGCATGTGGTGGGGTTTAAGGACTCCTTGTGGGTCTTTCATTGCAGTCTTCTCGTGGAACTTTGGCGCTTGTTCTACAGCAGAGAACTATCTATGTTGAAAGTGATTCTTAGTTAGATCTTCATTTCCTTGATGATGGTCTGTAGTTGATGCAACATTTGGAAATAGGAGGAGGGTTTAATCAGTTGATTACGAATAAACCACATAAGAAAACTTGATGACAAATTTAACTCAAAATCTCTAGATCATTCACACTGATATCTGTTGCTCAACATGTAATTTCTATCTAACGTAAAGCCTCATTCATACACATACTTTCTGTCTAATATTAGTATTAGGATATATTTTTTATGGAGTTCCTTCCTTTATTTCCTCTCCTTTGAAATATAAAAAAAGGTATGAACTTAGCACTGGGCTTTTGCCCCTCCTACTAGCCAATAAAAGAAGGGAAACAAAATGAAAACACAAAGTGGACAGAGAAGGAAATATAATTATGTCCAGTGAACCATACTGTATGCTGGAATTTTCTGAATTCCAGCCTCCATTATTTCTCTCCTCAGATCAGCAGCATGATCCCATCTTTCCTTCTCCGCATTCATGCTTGACAATAGCACATATTGGCCACAATGTTGTGTCTTCAATTTAAGCATTTTGTTTGCTATTTCTTCTCCTAGTTCTATAGCTCCATGAATCCTACATGCACCCAAAAATGCTCCCAAAACAGATGCATCAGGCTGAAAAGGCATATTTCTTACGATCTCTGCTGCTTCTTCGACATGTCCTGCTCTACCCAAAAGATCAATCACGCATCCATAGTGCTTCATTATTGGCTCTATTCCAAAGTCATGCCACATTGATCGAAACAACTCCAATCCCTCCTTAACAAAATTTCCACGAGCACATGCTGTAAGAACTGCAACAAGAGTAATGCTATTTGGTTTCAACACATGTAGCTTCATCTTCTCAAACATGTCCAGAGCCTCCTTCTCCCTACCATGGGAAGCCAATGAAGAAATCATTGCATTCCAAGTGCATACCTCTCTGACACACATTGCTCTGAAAACCTTCTCAGCATTACTCAAGCTCCCCATCTTCCCATAGAGATTTATTAACGAAGTTCCCAAAATAACTCCCAACTTGGCCTCATTCATTACTACATATCCATGAATTTGCTTTCCACAATCAAGAGCCGCTTGACCATATAAATTGGCACAAGAAGAGAGCACACAAGCATAAGTAGCCTCATTAGGCTTCACCAAACACTGCACCACATCCTTATGACTCATCATCTTCCCGAAAAACCGAATTGAGGCTCCAAATTTCCCATTCAAGGCAAAACCATTCACAACAGTTGTCCATGAGAAAACATCCCTTTGGGGCATGCGTTCAAAGAGTGCTACAGCAGCCTCCATGTGCCCATTTATGGAGAAAGCATTAAGCATTGCATTGCACATAGCAATGCAAAACATCGGAAATTCCTCAAACACCCTACGTGCATGAGGAAGGAAGTAGTTTCTTGCGTAGAGGGCGAGGAGAGTGGAGGGAATGAAGGGGTCAGACAAAAGGCCACGCTTGAGGGTTTGTGAGTGAAGGATAGTGCCCAAAGGAAGAGAGGAAGATTTGAGAAGAGGGGGGAAGGTGTAACTGTTGGGTGGAGCTTGGTTTGCAAGCATATGAGTGAAAAGGAGAAGAGCCTTGTGGTTGTGAATGTGATAACCACTGATGAGGGCGTTGTAGAGAAGAGTAGGCATCCATTGATCAGATAATGATGATGATGGAGCATTTGGGTGATGAAGAAGGTGGCCATTGGTGATTATTAGAGAATGGATTTGCTTCATTTGTTTTGGAAGCTTCTTGCACCTTTGAGTTAGTTGCAACAAAAATTCTCCTGAGTAACTCATGACACTACAAAAATTCGAGAATCTATCCTTTGGAAAGCTCACAACGTGAAATCTGAGAGAACAAAACACTTGCCACTAATGCAAAAAACCAATTGAGGAATAGGAGAAAAGCTTTTGCATTGAATTGCCTTTTGAAACGAGAATTATTTGAGAAATATCACTTTAAAAAGGAGTACTTCATCACAACGTGAATTTCTGAGAGAACAAAAAAAGTGCCACTCATTGGGCCTTGGAATAGCGTTTTGAAACAAGAAAAAGTGCTTTTCATCTAATTTGCAAACGAAAAAAGGTTGAACATGAAACGGTGCGTTTTGGTGTTTTGTTTGGTCCTAAGTGAGTGTTTTGCTATAAAAACGAATAAATCACGAGGTTTGAGGGTATCATTGGGGAAATGGACATTATCGGGAGTGGGTGCTGGGGGCTGTGGAAGTGGAATCCGCTACCGCAGTCTCGACGGCGTCGTATTCGCCGCACTTCGGGTTTGACGGGTGCAACCGGCGGAGGTGGCTACCGGTTTCCGGTGAAGCAAGCGGTGACTGCTGCCTCCCTGGCCCTCACCGGCGACACAATCGCTCAGCTCAGCAACCGTTGGAGGAAAGCGAAGGAGGGTGGTGGCAGTGTCTCTCAGGTGAGTAGAAAGATTGTAATTTTGGATATTGTTAATTCAATGAAGGAAGACAACAAAATTGGTGTGTAAAATGTGTGAAAAATTATGATACCTTCTTGTAAAGTGTGGTTGGTTAGTTTTGCATGGGCATTGTCCGTTGCTTGTTTGAATTTGAAAATAATTGGTACATTTTCGGAGTATTACTTTTGTAAAATTAGAATACTTGAAAGTTTCTACTGAAATGTGCTTGACCTTTGCACTGCCAATACTACTCATTTGGTTTCAGAGATACGAACTTCAGAAAGATGAATTTATTAACAAGTTGAGAACTTTGTATATGTTTTCTGGTCACAATTTATTAATATTTTATCTGGTTAGAAACTAGGATCTACAGATACTATACATGTACTAAAATTTGATACTTATACAGCCACAGATACTATACATGTATTGAAAATATTTACAATATGGTTAAGATACATATTTAGACGGGTATATAAAATTAGAAAACATAATAAATATATAATTTCAAAACAAAATTAAGAGCATGCTTCTTCAACATACTATAAACAACAGTTTTTTTAAATCGTTCTCATCGTAAATTCCTCCTATTATTGTCTACAAATAGTAGAAACAATATCGATTTCATCCCTTTCTTGATATCATCTACTGGGAAGCCAATTTTGTCCATGTTTCGTACTACTACATTAGATTACCATAATTTATTAAAAGTTTGGATAATTTATAAATACGTATTGATGAAGTATATAAGAGTATTGATATCATATGCATGACACAAGATATGTCGATATCTGAAGTACATAAATGTACGGTGTTTCATAAGTCCGTTTGTGCAATGTGTTTTGATGGAGTATGAGAGCTGCTATGTTTCTTTGCAATAATAATGCATGGTAAAGATACCAAATAGGGTTGTTACAGGATGAGTTGTGGAGCCACCTTTCAGACCATGATTGGCTGCGTGCCCTGCGAATGACTTCGTATGGATTCCTTTTGTATGGCCCTGGTTCTTATGCCTGGTATCAGTGTCTTGACCACTTTCTCCCCAAACCGACGGTCCAGAATCTAATGTTAAAGGTACTAATGCTTCATTTATAACTTTATTTGGTCTAATTTACAGGAGCTAGCTGGAGTTAAGGATAGTGATACCTTCTATGTTTCTGTTTGTTTTTTCCTCACTTCTGGCAGGTTTTACTAAACCAGATTGTATTAGGTCCATGTGTCATTGCTGTTGTTTTTGCATGGAACAATTTATGGCAAGGGAGGCTCTCTGAGCTTCCGGAAAAATACAGAAGAGATGCTCTTCCAACGTTGCTTTATGGTAAAAACCTCATTGTCTATTTATCGTAACTTATTGATTCTTCTTTCATAATAAGTTGATGCTAACGAATCTATCTTGTCTGTGCAGGTTTTAGATTCTGGATCCCTGTCAGTGTATTAAATTTCTGGTGTGCATCTTCATATCCTTCAATTTAATCTTCTATTTGTGTTTTCTTTTATTGAGTTAGTTCGCCTTTGGGAATCCCAACAAGGCAAAAAAGCAAAAAGGGTTCCGTTGCCATAAAAATGCTCTATTATAAATGAGAAAGATATTTTCATCTGGGTAGAACCTTAAATCTTAAGCCTGAGCAATTTGAATAAATTCATTCCTAAGACGTCTTTGTAGAACAGGTGACTTATCAAATATTCCTACCAGTGGTGGGAGAAGATCAATACTTGTATTATACCATCATATTGCTACCTAAATTCAATTAATTCAGATATCCCCTGTTACTCTAGATGCCTTTCTTGGTAGGAACAGAAACTTCTACTAAGGGAACTTGCTAGTTGTAACAATTAAATTAGTTCATGTCGAATATATCTAACATAATGAAAAATGGTGTCAAACAGGTCGTACATGTAAAAAGAATACACAGCCAGTCTGAATGGATAACTAGTGAATTTATCATCAGTCGTGCCATTCTACAAAAATAAAATAAAAAAATTAGATGATCACATAACTAGTGAAAACCAGTGGTGGAGAACTAGTTTGAACCGATTGAATTTCTTTTTTAATTCAACCCAAAACATGTTTTTTTACATAAACAAGCTCAATGCCAAGTAACTTTTTTTTTTTTTGGAAATATATAGTCAATTCATTAACACTGGTATAACCGTGGTTCAACCGTGGTTTCACAGTCAGATTAATGACGTGAGAAGTAGTGGTACCTTCTCCAGTTTATTGATTGCCTAGTTCTTACTGATAATCTACCTCCATCTGCAACTTGTTCTTACTACTAAAGTTGCTTTTTCTTTTCAATTGAATTCAAGATCAATGACATGCTAGTTCTTTTTTAGGCTTTAGTTTTACTTTTATTACGTATGTGAATTTAACACAATGAAGCTCAAACAATCTTTTGGATTCAAGTGGCAGACTTTTGGACACCTCCCCAACATCTGAATGACACATGTCGGGTATTCTTGTTCATTTGTTGCCTTGGTCACTCAAGGTGACATATCCATATGGCTTAGACACCTGAGCCTACTTCCATATGCATAAGCACTTAAACGACACTGATATTATAAAATTATATTCCATTTTTATTTAAAATTTCAGAAAAAAAAAATCAGCTTAAAATATAGTATGCAAGTATTAAAAATAACGCCTCTAAGTTTTTTTTTTGGGTATCGTTATTCATAGAAAAGAAAATGAAACTTAGAAAGTTGTTTGACTTTTGAGAAGGTGCATCTTCCTTGAAAGTGTTTATCTTTTGGAATTTTTAATGAAGAGATAAATTGATTATATTGTAGTGGCTCTTTATAATTTTCTTTTTTGAAAGGCTTATTTTATTTGGTATAGTGTCCTCTAATTGGTATCCGTGTTGTGTTTGGTGTCTGGGTTAGAACCTGCGTTTTATACTTTGGATATGCCATTTTGCCCCCTTGTCTGGCAGTTGCAGTTCTTAGACTGTGTTTTGCATGTAAAGTGGTAGGATCTTGCACAGTTAGGCAACATCAGGGTCTTTCAGTTTTCAATTACTGACAGTTAAACAGCAAAAATATATAAGTATACCTCCTATCTTTTTTCTTTTTTTTCATTCTCATGCAGAAAATGCTCTAATCCATATTGCAAAATTCTTGTTTTGTTTAATATAAATAACATTTAACTCTTCACCTTTTAAATACCCTGATGAGTATTAATTCTACAGGGACTTGTGATCATGTAGGTATAACTGTGATGACCTTCTTTAATTCTGAGCATACTTGCTCTAGCTTTCAAATATGTCAGTAACATCTAGTTATTTATGGATTTAAGTGTTTACATCGCAATTCTTACACTCCTCGGCTATTTTTGTGGCGTATCTATAGGGTGGTGCCTCTTCAAACTAGAGTGGCTTTCATGTCAATGGGCTCAATATTCTGGAATTTCTACTTGTCATCAACAATGACCAAGTAGCATACGTGCAATTTGCTCTGTCTGCAATTTTTACATTGTGAGGTATGTTATGAATACTTTATTTTTGTTCACCTTTTATATGTTGGGTGGTTACTACTTATAACATCAACCCTTGTCTTTGTAGATTAATCAGAATCTTATAGTGTTGGGTGAGGAAGGTTGTGGAGGATGAGTTTTGATTTGGATGTTACCGTTGGTGTGATATGCATTAATTTTCGCCTCCTGAATGGCTTGTGATATGAAAAGATAATCACATTTTTTGTTCATTGCTGACAATTGTAAACTTGAACTTTCATATGAAAAGCAGCTATAGTGTAGGGTGTTAGCTTTCAAGAAGGAATATCATATTTTTTGGATAATTGTGTACGTTGTTATGAATGATCATTGAATATCAGAAAACGGGAACAAATATACTGAGTTAATTGTAGCTAAATCTAATTAATTATAATTAAAATTATGGTCCTTTTCAGACTGTAGTAGTTAGTTGTATGTGTTAAATTAATTTTTTCAACATGGAAATTAAATTAAAATTCTATTTTTAAATTATTGAAACACGCATTCACTAACTAGCATTTAAAGAGTAATTATATATTTATAATTAATTTTTTAACGTGGAAATTAACTTATATTATATTTTTAATTTTTCTGAACACTCATTCACTTGCGAGCAAATAAAGAGCTCTTATACATATTAGTATTCAATACATTAATTGAATCAGAATGCATACTTGTAAGATCAATTTGAATACCGAATCAATATATTAGTCTTATGGTATCCTAGATCAACACAATTCTTGTAGTCTCCTAAAGTTATAAAATATTCATAAAATTTAAAATGATTATTATGATACTATGTAAAATCATAAGTTATTAAGATTTAATTTTTTCATAAAACCAAATTATATATTTATTATAGTAACTTAAATTATTATAATTACATTTAAATTTATGATTTTATGAATTAAAAATAAACAAACAATAAATTTAGTAAAAAAAGTATAAAACTTTAAACGTTACACTTTTTTGGTTTAATAAAAATTATTCACTTAAGTTTTTATAAATATAATTTGAATCTTTTTTATTCCTTGTAATCTCGTCTGATATCACTCTCTATAGCTTTAGACATTAAGATAAAAATAATAAGTAGAAAAAAAAAACAAATGATTTTCTAGAACAAGAATTAAAAGATAGAGTTTAGGTGGAATACCTTTCATATGCTTAAAAGTGTGTAGTATTTTTGTCTTTAGTGCTTAAAAGCATAAAAAGGTATTCAGTAAGTAAGTTTAGTTTTATAATGAGAAAATAGATAAATTAAAATGAGTAGAAGGTACGTGTTTGTACCCTAACCGTGTAGGTTTGGAGAAGATGGTTGCATCCAGAACGTGGTGAAGTGAAGACCAATTTCCCAATTCAATCCGTCCAATCCGAATCCCTTTCGCTCCTCTCTTCCACATACCGCTCGCAATCGTCCCCGTATTTTCATTGCATTTTCTTCATTCCCAATCGATAATCATCTTCAAAAATTTAGCTAATCTTTTCTTCTTTAACCTCGTTATCTACTTCCATAGGAAAAAAAAAAAAAAACAAAACTACCGAAGAAGTAGACGCCATTTTTCATTTTAATCCTGCACAAAATGAATGAACTCTTATTTTTTCTTAAAAGAAAACATTAATAAATAAGTTTCTACAGTTTGTTTTGGTTATAATACTGTTATGGTTTTGAATTGCGGTTTTGGTTTTGCTGGGATTCTTGACCTTGCGAAAAATTGTGGATGATGCAACTGGGCTTGTGAACCACAGTTAAAAACCATGAAAACCCCCCAAAAAATTGCTAATTTGTCGAATCGTTGGTTCTTTGAAGTGTGGTAACACAACTGTTGTGTAAAGAGTCTTTAATCACTGTGTTAAAACTTATTGTAATCAGAGGCTGTGATTTATTAGACCTCTTTTATCCGAAATAGTGTTATTGGTTTAAAAATTTTGTGGAATGGTGCCAGTTTTGTGTTTTTTTACAAATTGGAGTATGTCTTAATTCTAGGGAGCGCGTTGCCGAGGAGCTCTGCGTATGTAGTATACACTAGGTAGCGCGGTTTGCTTCCATGGTAGTAGTTTTGAAACAACTATAAAGAGGACGTGACGTCTGTTTCGGTATTCTCTCTATCTAGTTGCACCTTTCCTTCTCCTCACCTGCGCAACCAAAGTAACTTCATCTCATAGCCAAAGAAACCCACCTCTTGCATATACCTCACGGCCAACCTTGGGCACCAAGAACCAAGTCTTCCAAACACCCTTAACCTTCAAGAACAAATCCCGTCGATTTCTTAATGTCTTTTTGAACCTTCCATGTTTTGGCACTCTCGTTCATTTATACTGAGGCTTAGATTCGGCACAGACCTTGAATTTTGAATTTCTTTAAGACTTTAAATCCCCCTCCCCCCTTTCTGGTTTAGGTTTGGTTTTTTCTAATCATGGGTTGGTACAGAAGGGGAGCTCTTGATCACGTTCGCATCTTGGCCTCAAGATTTATGCCTCAAAATTCAAATTTTCGGCATAGTTTAAGGAGTTGCCAGTCTTGGTTTTTGGTTTCAGGTTCAAAAGGAGCTAGCTTTAATGGGTTCTCTTCATGGTGTTCAATTTCTCAGAGACTAGGGACACGAGGTGTTGTCGGAGTTAATGGGATTCACTATCTCTTTCCTTTGGGGGCTAAGAGATTTTACTATATTGATCCTTATAATGTGCAACATTTTAGGCCAAGCGAACCCATTTAATTCTGTTGTCAAAAACCATGGAGAGGAGGATTGGGGAGAACGAGTTTGAGAAAACAAAAGCCACTTTTAAAGGGAAGATGTTGCCTCCTTTACATCCTGAAAGTGTGAGGGTGACAATGATAGCTAAGGAAATAATTGATGCATTGCAGAGAGGGTTGAGGAAGAATCTGGTGTTGAATGATTTGGGTTCTGCATCAGAGCAGACTATGCTGGTTGAAGGAGGAGATGGAAGGGAGACATTCAGTGCATTTGTTGGGAGTGTAGAGAAGGTCGGAAGGAGTTGGCACGAGGAGGATAAGATTCTTGATGATAAACAAACCCCGAAAAATGCTCAGGAAAGAGGGTCACCAACTGGTCCATCACATTTGGATGGATTGAATTGGGAAATTTTGGTGGTAAATGAGCCAGTTGTTAATGCCTTCTGCTTACCTGGTGGGAAAATAGTTCTGTTCAGTGGTTTGTTTGAGCATTTTAAAAGTGATGCAGAGATAGCAACTATTATTGCGCACGAGGTATTCTACATGTGCTTGGTTTGAGCTGTACTCCTTGTTTTTGCAGTTTAATATGCGCAACCTACGGGTTACACCTTAAAACTTACTAATTTGCAGAAATGATATGCAGACATGTCAATTTAATTTATACAGATTTTGCTGTTAATTAGGTTGGGCATGCTGTGGGAAGACACAGTGCCGAAGGGATTACAAAGAACCTGTGTTTTGGTGTTCTGCAATTGATGCTTTATCAGCTTGTCATACCTGATATTGTCAACATATTGTCATCCCTTTTCTTGCACCTACCTTTCACCCGGCGGTATGCTTTGCTCACTTCCTCTTTTTCACCAATTTATTTTCCGTATGGTTTGTTGATATATGTTGAGTTGTGTGGCCTTCCAAATAAATTGCTTTGCTAAACTAAACAGAAGTAATAGTTTATAACATTTTTCCTTCAATTTCATACTTACTTTTTTTTCTTACATGTTAAACATAATTTGAGCTTATGATATCAATTAATTTTAGTATAAATCGATTTAAACTCTATTACATTACAGGAGTAGAGGGTAAGATGAACGAATCAGTTGAAATGGATACAACTTGGATGGTACCGTAGATATTGGTTGCAGTTCCACAAGATAATCAATAATTATCCTTTCCAGTCAGATTCCGAATCACCATAGATCATAAGATTGATTTCTGGAACAACCTACATGAGATTCATGAAAGTATCTCTAAAATCTAGTTCATTGCCATGACTCCAACTGGTCCGGGGACTAATTAAAAAAAAAAAAAAAAAAGAGCATTCACCATCATTGCATTATTCAATGCATAACAATTATGTGAATGACTTGGCGAATGAAAGAGTGATGTAACAGATGGTCTAAGTGCTTGAGATAGTTGTGACATGATAAGAACCTTTTGTGGTGTAATAATGTTCATTATGTAGGGATCAATAATATAAATATATCCCGTATGCTAGTTTTCTTGGACTGCAAATTTTGTAATATAGCCTAATTTTGTCACTATTTTTAGGATGGAGACAGAAGCTGATTACATCGGGTTGCTGCTAATGGCATCAGCAGGCTATGATCCTCGGGTGGCACCTAGAGTGTATGAAAAGTTGGGACAAATTGCTGGTGATTCTACCCTTATGGATTATCTCTCTACCCACCCTTCTGGTATACAAAGAGCGGAATTGCTGGCCCAAGCTAAGATAATGGAGGAAGCATTTAATATATATAGAGATGTGAGAAAAGGACATAAGGTTGTAGCTTTTCTTTAGGACTGCACAACCACAACCTGGTTGTTAGAATACCCTCATACTACTTTTTCCAATACAAAAATATGGGAATTATCAACTGAACACATACTACTGCTTTTTTTTCCTTTTGTGTCGCTGTTGGAGGAATTTTGTTTGTTTGTTTATTTATTTATCATTGTAAAGTTCAGGATAATATTAATTATTATTTTCTTATGTATATATTTACAGAAAAAAGAAGATAAATAATGAGATTCTTTCCCACTGATATAAATAGGAGATATAAAACTCCCAAATTATTTCCCACACTAACACACAAGAGGGGAAGAGATTCTTTTCTTCCTAATTCTGGTACGAAGAATCAGGAAGAATGTTTTTTATTTCCATGATCATTCAGCAGAAAGTGCTTATAACATTTATTTTTAGTCTAGTTTTTTCGAACCGACTTCTATATTAAAAAAAAAAGGTAAATGATCTTCTCCAATAAAAATTAATTTATGTATAAATTAAGATATAAAAACTCTACTATAGCTTATCTAAATTTTTATTTTTTATTTGTATGTTAATCAATTTTAGTTATAAGAATTTATTTTATTTTTTATTGAAATTTTCAATATTCACACAGGTTGGAGAGCTTTATATATATATATATATATATATATATATATATATATATATATATATATAAAACACCTTGTAAGTGCATGTTTGGAAACTCGTCAAACGTACACATGTCTTATGACGTCAAATCAGAAGCTTTCACATTTTGCTTTTAGCGGATGCTCACCAAATTTGAAAAGACACATAAACAAACACGTTCTAGGATGTGTCACTAAATACCTATTATTGTCTACATGGTACACGAAACATGAAGTTCTCAATTCGCACTCCCTTGATATTCTTCTTTTTCGTCGTTTGAAAGTGTTTTTTTTATACATAATATTCTAACTAGTAAAAAACTCATCCCATTTATCTCAATTATCCATTCTGTAATCTATTTTCAAAGGTATTTTATAATAAATTTTAATTGAAACATAATTTAATATAATAAATTCTAATTTTATAAAAATATTTATCTGATTCAAGATACAAGTTAAAACACCAGTTTATCCTTTAAAAAAAAACAATTCGTACATGAAACTTATGACTTAGTATTAATGTTAAAATATTTTAGCCAAATTTTTCATGTCGAACTTCCACTAACAAGAATAAATCTTAGAAGTTGTAACTAGATCCACTGTTTTCGTAAAATTGCAAAAGCAATTACAATTTTTTATAAAACAAACAATTAAAAGTTTTTTAAACGAGTACAATCGTACAGGTACTAAATTTTAAAATTATGTAAAGATTAAATTCCAAATCTTTAATTTAACCTTGATAGATTTGCTCTTTGGTGCTGTAGACCCAATGAATTCAGGGTCAAATTTAATTCTTCACAATGCAAAGATTGACATATTCAAGGGATCAATGAAGCTGGATCGATAATTGGGAGCGCATTCAAGGTTACCGAACCTGCAAGATTGACATATTTCTTCATGACCAAGTAAATGTGGAAGAATGATATTCGGCTTTTGAGGTCCAACTGGAGTCGATCCTTTTCCACAATTACCTGAGGCTCTGACTTGTATTTGGACGTTGGCCGAGGGGCAATATTAGCTTGATTTTCTCCTCATTTTGTTATGGTAAATGGCAAAAGAAAAATAATTTCAGGCTATGCTTGAAATGCAAAGTTGGCATGTAATATTTTTGTACTCATTAATCCAGTGGCCTTGCAACAAATCATTGAGAATTGGCCATGCAAATATTTTTCTGAACCTTGCCTCCAGTGTGATCTTTGCTTTTGGAAACAAAATATGAAATTAGCAGATATTCGACTCTGCTGTCCGATGAAATTAACATAAGCGCACTGCCAGCACATTGCGTTATACAACAGTTAAATTTAACAGTTCTTATTGTGACAGGATACAAATGAATCTGATTTGTTGAAAATAACACCTGTAAATTAAAATTTATATGCCACCACAAAAGAAAAGCGAAAGATTAAGTTAATGTACAAGATACATGTAATTTCGATATAAAATTATACTAATCGGGTAAATTTATAGAATTCAGAGTTCAAACTCCCGCACGAAACATAATAATCTTGTGGAGATACTAAAAACCTTTTATGAGAAAATTGAACACTATTCTGAGGACAACTGGTGAAAAATCCCTTCTAATATTGGAAGGCAATGGAAGTGACAAGCATGGTTCTGAAAGCCAGGTTTGCCTTTATGGGATTCACAGACCTATACAAGCAAAACATTGAATCAGAACTTTAATGAGGCATGGGACGGGGGATTTGGCAGAAACCTAGAATTTAAGAGTTCAGGTATTCAGAGCTCAAACTACATTAAATGTTGACGTAGCAGAAAAGATCCAACTTTGGTAATAACCACAACTTTTTGAGTATCATGGCCTCTTATATGCAGAGAGGTAACAGTATAAAGATAAACAAGTTTCCACGTCAATGTGAAAACTCTAATAAATATGGAGAAACAAAATGAAACTTAACTGGTACTTTGCAGTGCATTTTCAACTTATTTAAAGTTCATATTGATAAAAAATGGCGAAAATTTAGTGCACCTGAAATAGAAAGAAAATGAAGTACAGGTGATCTAGGTTTTAAAGTTCCTTTTTGGAATCAACTTGCTCCTATAATGGCCAAATCAAATTTCCCAAGTTTTTCATCAGAAACATTTCATACATTGCAGATTTTCATGCAAAAACTTTCTTCAATCTTCTTAACCCGAATGATATCAAACATCATCATTGCAATCTGATTAAACAAGAAAGATCAGCATATTATACCCCTTAATTCCCGATGGACCCTATAATGCATGATACCACAGCCAAGCAAATCACGGGGGAAATTGAAATAAAGCAATATATGGTTATTATAACAAATGCAGCAGCACGATCACATAAGACGTATACAGAATACTCCCAAGTGTGCAATTAAGTTATTGTAGAAGGCATGGGCTAATAAACTGATTTCTACAAAATCCCTCACGTGTGGAGTTATATTATCCAATCTTTTCATCAATAATTTCTCGTACATTGAGATTCTTTATACAGAATAAGGACCCACAAGATGCTAAAATGGTTCATAAATAAAGAGAACAAAACCTGGAATGTAAACAAAAAGGTGTTCAACATGATGACACAAGAAAATCCAGAAGCACACAAATGTGCTCTAAATAATGTTAATCATTTAGTTCTAGATGTCTATAATATAATACTTGTAAAAACGAAATCATGTTTCAAGCTGAGCGTCAAATTATAGAAAGTCCCTGCAATCCCATCCCATCTACGCTTCCTGATCTTCAAGTAGTCTGCCTTAGGCCTACAACCAAAAGGGGTAGGTACGGCTTCACTAAACGATTTAGTTAAATGGATGCAGCAAAGAAATGAAGCAGGGAAACTAATCCACCAATCCTACATACAGGATTAGTAGTTATATCAACACATGGACAAGCATTAGACAGACAAAATGCCGTTTGTCTATGAATACGGTGATATTAGATTACAAATGAATCTTGAACGCTTTGTCAAATAGTAAACCTCATAGGACTCAAGAATTGATAGAAAACATACCCGAAATTAATTGTAGAAAGAACATCATGGAATCCTAGAGATGCTAGCTACCTAATTCAGAAGAAAAATTCAATTGTCAGGAAATCATAATGAATGCAAACTAGTTAACCTAAACAGATGGACTGCATAGCCCAAATTTTCCCTAGCTCTAATTTTAATATTTTTTATGATCAAAAGAAAAAAATGTAAAATATCTTCTTAATCCCTTTTCACTTAAATACCTAATCAACATTGAATATATACCAAAGAGCTTCAAAAGTAGTAAGATTATTTGGGATTTGGCTCTTCCAGAGAAAGGGTAAAGTAATGTTAGCCATGGATAAAAAACAAAAGGTTTATAACCCGACACATTTAGTGCATGTTTAGATTATAGATTATTGACTCCAATTTCATGTTGAAAGCTAAAGCAACAAAAAGTTGTTTCCACTTTTTCAATTTTTAGATGTGATTTTAGGAGTCAGAAAATTTGTTATCCAAAGATGCACTTAAATTTGTTATGCGTGCTCACAGAATATTAACAGTTGGTTTTCTCATTAATGACTAAGACTTTGAAAATTGTTCAGAGTCATGACCGTTGATTGTACAGAAAAACCAACCACGATGATTACAAAAAAATACACATACATATGTACAACAAATAATGATGCTTATCCGTTCAAGTACGCAAGGTGACTAGGCTTTTTCAGGATAATAAGGAGTTACAGAGAATTCTTCGAGCCAAATTTTGAGTTCCAAGTGCTACATCCTGAAGTAATCCATAATTCTTATAAACCCCAACTGACTAATTTTCCAATTTCTTGTAAAGTGCACCTCTAATGTAAAGGACTCGAAATCAAAAGGATGACCCATTGTGAATCATTTCTAAATTGTATAGAGTCAACAATGTCACTAAGTCAAAGGCATTCAAATTTCACACGAATACATTCAACATTCCAAAAACGTGTTGGTAAAATTGACGATACCTTCGGGAATCCAAGCGCACGTGCGGCTTGAAATTGAAAGCATGGAATTCATGAGCGCAGAAGCAGTAGCCGTGTGGTACGGCATCATCGATTCCACACACGAACTCAACTCCACTGGTAACCTTATCACACAAAACACAACGATATTAGGTATTAACAAAGTAACACAACAAATAAGCTTCCGTGAAACGCAAAAACGTGTTGGCTATTACCTGAGTGTGGATTGCGACACTGGTCTATTGGATGTGATGCGAAACGGAGAACGAAACGTTTTTGCTTCCGATGCGACGCGAAACACCGACCGGCCGGCGGAGCATGACCGGAATATTGATCTGGCAGCGGCGGATGCCATTTTCGTGAGCTGAATCGTTTGGGATAAGCGAGGGGTTTTTGGAAGTCTAAAACCCTATCTCATGTGTAATTGACGCTGTACTTGTTACACAATCATTGGGCTTGGATCACAAGGCCGAACTTCAACAAAATGAAGGTCCAAGTTTTTTTGTGTTAGTTTACAAAGTACTTGAGTGTTTTAGGCTCTATTTATAAAACTTTCTCTGCAAATAAAAAACAAATGAAAAGAAAAGAAGAATTAAATAAATTTTTTATACACTAGAATCAGTTAAACATAAATTAAAAAAAAATCATAAGGAAACTTATACAAAATAATTTAAATTTAAATTCAATTTATTTTCTACTTATTTATGTTTTATTTAGTTGCAGAGAAAATGGTAGTGGAAATAAATAAAAAGATGTGGACAAAAGGAGTGTATAAAAAATTTGAATTGAACCTAGTTGTCAAGATTAGATTCTATTTTATAAACGGTCTATCTATTTATGCTATTTAGTTTGATTCATCACAATAACATTATTATTGGTAGAAAAAACAGTGACAAATGTTCATCACATTTTATAGTTTATTGGAGCCAAGGGTTCTGCTTATATTTTCTTAGTCTAGAGTTAAAAATAAAATAAAACAAGACAGCACGTTTTTTATACAAATATTATGAAATATAAATATATATTTTTTATTAAGGTTGATAGCTACATGATTTTTATTACTTTGAAATTCAATGACTTCTTCATTATTATTTTCTTATTGATAAATTAAAGAATAGAGTACAATATTTTTATTTTTTTAACATACACTCTTATAACATTTAAGAATTTTGTATGTGTCCAAATAGGTTCGAGTAAAAGGTAAGAGATAAAAATGACTTAAATTTTTTAATTTTATTTTCATTATTAATGTTTCAACTTTTAATTTAGTAAAATATAATTACTCACCCCATTCAATAAGTACATAATTTTATTGTATGCAATTGTATTAATACTACATATTTTAGTAAATTAAACAAATAAGTACATAATTTTAAATTGTAAATTAAATAAGTACATAATTTTTATACGTAATTATATTAAATATATCAATGAAAAAAAAAGAAGATACTTGTAAAATTGACTTCTCTATCAAACAAGATACACAAACTATTATAAAAAGGTAAGATGCAAAATCATCAATGATGGATGATATAACATATAGAAATAAAAATATATCTTTTTTAAATTACATAAATTAAAATTTTTCTTTTTCTGATATTTTCTTCCTTCAATACACAAAAACAGGGAATGTGACCAAAGTTCATGTAATCTCTAAGAAAAATAACAAGGAAAAATTATCAAACTTCAAAATAAATGTAAAAAATTCAGAATAACTATGTAATCTTTATAGTTAATGGTTAGGGAGAAGATAAAAGAAATAACAAAATCCGACAAAATGGAATTGAAAAGCATTGAGTTTTAGAAACTACATTACATTCCACAAAGTCGAGGATGTAATAAATACTCAAAAGAATTAGTTAATTAAAAGTCATATTTATCCCTACTTCACCATGGTTTGAATTTTTGTTGTTATTTTTCAGCCTTGTTCTAGGCTATAGGCCCTCTTATCTTGGCTCATAGTCAATCCTGATTGGAGTGGAAAGAGGAGATATGGGAAAAAGGAAAATGGAGATAGAAAGAAAATGATAGGCGATGTAATGGAAAAAGAAAAAAAAAAGAAAAAAATTTTAAGAAAATGGAATAAAATTGAGATAGAAGAAAATATAATAATACTATGTTTGAAAACATGTATATACTGTGTGTTGCTAGTACAGTGAAAATCCCTTTCCTACCACCTTTATTCATTATTTAAAATGTTTGATTAAAGGAAACACAAAGGACTAAATTTTTGGTTGACATTTGGTATAATTCAGACTATATTTAAGTACTATAAGACATCATCTAACTTGATTTGATTTCTAAAGCTGAAAATTATTTATTTAACTTTTATACTTTAGCCTAAAATTCTAGGTACTTAAAACGTTTTAAGTATAAATAATAAATTATACTTTATTTTATCCTCTCATTATGAACCAATGCACCATTTACATTCATCAATTTCTTCCCTCCACTCAATTAAAATTTTCTTCATCCATCTCATTTAAATCAAGCAAAGCAGAGTCAATAGCATTACCATCGCATTATACCTGCGGAAAAACATTCAATAGCAAATGTTAACTTCAACACCCTTGATAATTGACACTTACGATATGAGTTAAATAACAATACTAAATTACAAAATAAAAATATTTCGGCAGCACAAGACTACATCTTTCGAATCAGTCTGTTTGACTGTTACACAAAAGCAGAGTAATCGTATAAGAATATGCTCAGTAATAAATGGAAATAAAAATTTGTCGTGCTAAAATTGTCTGACCATCATTTTACACAATAAAGGAATGATTTTAAACAATTTCTCCTGCATTTTGACGGTACATTTTAACTAACTACTGTTCAGACACTTCAGCAAGAAGTTAAAAACATCACCGCTGTGGGTCCCCTCACTCTTCTCTATAATCTGGATTCTCCTTCAAAATTACAAAACCTTCAAGAATTGGCGACAGGGGAAGGTATCTGAAGAAAAATAATAGTTAGTATTAGAAAACATAAGCGTAGTATGTTTTAAAATTTGAAGGCATAGGTGCCTTACTTTTCCGTTGCCAGCTCTGCCCTGTCCCCAGCAGCCAGGAGAACCGGGGTGGAGTGGGTCTGAAAGCCAGTAATTGTTTTAGGACGACCTGCTTGTCCAACAACATCTACTGCTTGACCAACACGAACAGGCACTGATAAAGGCCTCAAGTTCTTATCCACAGTAAGTAACATCCTTGGCTGTTGCAACAAATCAATAATGTGACTGAGAATGGCTTAAAATGGCAAAGGGTAAGAGTGACTGAAAAGAGAAAATGAAACTCAAACAACCTGCATTGCCAAAACCAGGAAGTAGAGAACATAATGATATTTCCCCAACACAATAGCTTTCATATCTAGGCATGCATGCAACATGGTAATCAATCCAGCAAGTGCTGTCCTGTAAAAAATTATACAGAAATGGCAAATATTACACTGAAGTTGTATGTCATTTTAAAGTCACCCAGACGGAGCGACAGAATGTTTTACTTACGGTGATAGAAGGAAACGATCAGAATGATATGGATTAAGTGTTAATAAGCCCTTTCCCAAATGCACAAGACCTTGGGCAATCCGCACCTATAGATAAGGTAAAAGAAAATCGATGACCACATAAACAGTGGAAATTAGAAAATAAGGAGGGAAATTTAGAGAAAGCCTACACAAAATAGAAGGCTGGTATCCTTGTAGTAATAACTTGAAAGATTACGGAGCATGCCAGCAATTCGAGCATTGTTAGTTCCAGCACCTATTAGACCCAAGGAGATTACTGCCGCCTGAACCATACAAATTGTTTTAGCAACAATAAGCAAAGATAGAGACCCAAATGTTATCAAAGTACAGAGACTTCACATCTCACCATAGCTACTTCTGAATCAGTATCATGGCTAAGTCTGCTTAAGGTATCCATAACATTTACCTGTAATGATTCAGTAAAAATTTAACAAAAGTTATTACAAGTGACATCTTGCATCCGGACCATGATAAAATGTTTAACACTGAAATAATAACGCTGCAAAAGTGACAAAATGCATGGAAGCAAGTCCATTTTTACCTTTGGATTTGATATACAAAGTAGACCAAGTGCAAGAGGAACTGCACGGCGAATATTCTGCTCCCCATACTGCAGAAGATGTTCTAATGATCGAATTGCCATTTCAAGTCCCAGTTCTTCAGCCATAGCTACCATAGCAATACCAAGCACCGCAGGACCTTGGTGAGTTTCACCTTTATCAAGATGTTGAGAACAATGACCCAAGAGATTTTGAACCTACAAGAAAAAGCCAGAAAATATAAACATAAAAAGATGTATACACAACTATAAACATAAAAAGGTGCAACAGAAATTCGTTTTTAAAAAACTTCATAACTATATAAGATTGTAACCTTGAGAACATTTCCAGTTCCAGCATAGGCACATGACAGTAGTGTCATGTCACAATACTTTCTAATTTTTTCATTAAAAGTTTTTGAAACTTCAGCAGTTGCCTCAACACTGTCCTGCAGTTACAAAGCACAATGTAAAGAGTGAGTATTATACAAAGCAGAACCCTCTTAGTATTAATTGTTATTCGGAAGTTAAAGAAATAAGATTAATGAGGTGAGAAGAAAATAATCTCTAATTAAAGAAATGAAGACAACAGCTGTCGAACAACTGATTACCTGCTTCCCAAGATATAAAAGACCGAGGCCAAGTGGTAAAAGTCGGGTAAGGGGCTCTCCCAACTCTGACTCACTCCTGTCCATTAATGTATATATAATTGCTTGAGCAATTTCCTCATTGCAAGAACCGACAAAGATCAAGCCCAGAGAAATAGCAGCAAAAGCAAGCACATCAAGTGAAGCTTTAGAATCATTCAGTACACCTGTCAATTTCTCACGTAACTGAAAGAAACAAGAACAAATTAAAATCTTTACATTTCTAGATAGTATGAATCTCAATTCTCAACAAATATTATTACAAGATTTTCAAAAATATAGAGAAAAACATATCACCTGCTCATTCTGGGAACCAGCGTATGCAATTCCCAAACCCATTATAGCACCAATCCTGATTGATGCGTCTTCTTTATCTGTATAATCACCAAGAAGTGCCATTGCCTGAAAAGGAGTCAAATCAGATCTAAAATAGAAAATATGAAGTTAGGTGTCATACTCTCATATGAAGCAAAAATAGAATAAAAGAAACTCACAGGATCACAGTCATTCTTGATACTACAATTAACAATTCCAACTCCCAATAATGCACCAGCAATGACATGATTGTCATTACTATGGAAGTACTTGTCAAGTTGAGCAAGTCCTGAGTCAACGTCCCACAGTAAAATCATACCCTGTCACAATACAATAGAGTTGTAAATGATATTTTTATTATCCAAAACCATAAGAAAAAGTGACTCCATAAGAAAATGCATACCAGACTAGCTGCAGCACTAGTCTTCCCATGTTCCTTATTTTTGAAAAGCCAGTTTCCAGAAGAAGTGCTACTGGTAGAATCTGAAGAAACAGTCATTAATTTATCCTGCACAATGAGAACGAGGAAGTCAAGGAAATAGAATATTGAGGAATTGAAGAGATCATTAATCCAAAACACAAATAGAACATATAGAATCTTGACATATAAAATGCAGTGTACCTGACCAAAGCCAGCATTTACAAATGCATTAACAAAAGTTGCTGCAAGGTTCTGTCTAGCTGAATCAACACTTGCACCAGCACTTGCCCGGCCATCAAGTAAGTGTGCCTAGAAGAAACCAATCAGAGTGAACATAAGTTGACAGCTAATCAACAAAATAGAACACTTGAGATAGAAATAGCACATCTAGAAACTTTTGTTTCTTGTACATGGAACACTAGCACAATCGGATTTGCCTCACAGTTAGTACAGTTGCTGTAAACATAAAGCAATGCAGTACAAGATGACTCTTTTTTCTGAATGAAGTACAATTAAGTATCAGAAGATGCATCTGCTGCTGTAGCAGGAAAGGAACCTCAAAAAAATAATACAAACCATTTATGACACATCATTGATGACAAACATATAAATTATTTCAGTTGCCAGCCTAGACTCTTTTAAATTAGAGTTTCAAATTTGACTAGCAAAACCAGAACATCAAAAACAATTTGTCCATTAAGAAATTATAACAAAATCTCACATGTGAAATATATTGGAAAATGATTAAGTAACCTATGTAAAAAAGCACTACAAATAAATGTGATAAGGCAATTCTGTAGCAAGGCATTATTTCAATTTTTCAAGAGTTTATAACAAACCAGAAAACACTGATACACACTACACTTGTAGCTATCTACAAAAATTCTTATAGATATGACAAACAACCATAACAAAAGTTGTCAAAACTAATGTATATTAAAAAAATCATGACTCGTTGTTTTAAGAATTTGAACATAATTTAGCTAGGTAAAACTAAAATCCAATGCCATTAGATGCAAAATAAGACATGGACCAGAAGTTATATCTAGTACAGAGTTCATTATAGCAGAAGTAAAATTATCATCAAAATTACACCTTGTATATATCCTCAGGGGACTTGGGCTCCATGACTTCAATATCCCGAGCAAGGGTGAGATATCCTTCATTTAACTTAGAATTGTTGATGATATCCTGCAATACTTCTCTGTCCTCATCATCTGCAGCCATGTCCTCATCAAGCTCAAAAGTAATTCCCTACAGTTAGATAATAGTCAATAATAAAATTCTCACAAGACCATCAAAAGACTCACACGACCATCAAAAGAGAGTCCCCAAAAAGATCTGAAAGTGACCAAACGAGTAAGGTGTATAACTTCACTGTTAAAGAACTAACGAGTCACAGCTAAGAAACAAGAGACAAGATAACTTCACAAAGTAATAAAGAGAATTCAGGACTTACATGACGTGCAAGCATGTAACAGAATTGCTTCTTTCGCAACAGATCATTGCAAGAGGAAAACACCTCCCTCACATGCTGTCACAGCACTGCAACTAATTAGTTTCAAGCCGCAAGAATATAAGATACAAAAGATAAAAATTATTTCATCAATTGTAAATATACACAGAGAATTGAACACAAACTACAGTGTTAAAAGAGATACTGTAAAGAATTTCAGTGCCACACCTGCATGTTATCCATGAACAATGCAATTTGGAGTGCGTTTGGATATTCTTCAAATTGATTATAAATTGAATATGCAATGTCCAGAACTAGCATATCATCTGGTCCTGGGAGGTATCTGTGAAGTTAAACAAAAATATATAAATATGAAAGGGAAAAGATAACATGTTTGCCAGAGAAAATCCTAGACCATATATATATAAACAAGAAACATCTCATTCATCAGGCAAAATGCCTTACGAGTAAAAACGATTCCTCCGATAAAAAAAAAATTCTTTAAAAAGGTTGCTATCAATATCTAGAAAAAGAAAAACCTAGAAACCAATCATGAAGGGACTATACCAAAATTCATGAGAAACACGAAAGACTAAACAAAATAATAAATCTTTAAAATAATCACTCCCATTACAGGATAAAATACACCCATAAACTTTTACAGTGTAAAATATCACTCTCAAATTCTAACACCAAACTTAGAAGCTTCAGAGGCAGGCCTACGACTATTAAAAACTATCCCGTCAGTAAACAAGACTCCCAATCTTTCATATCCTCAGCACAACTGTAGCAAGAGATCCAAATACAAGTTAAGCTAATAACGGTTCTCATTCCTAATGTATTGGAACACTCAATCAATCCAAAGACCCCAGGATGCTAAACTAAGATTGCTTTAATAAATAATATAGGAATTTAGAAATGAAAATAGAAATATCATAGAAATAGAAAATCAAATGAAAGAGCCTGTGATTGCAATGATACTATTTTTTTCAAATGAAATAGAAAACCATAAAAGACACGAAAGTTCAAATGCTATGATAGATTGTTATTTTTCTTTCTTTGCCAATTATGAGCTCAATTGAATTTCCTCTGCATAAACCAAGCCCTGTTTGCATTTACCTTGCTGAACTGGTGAGATATAGGCAAGTTCTTTTAAAATTTGTTTTGTCAACATGTGCACTCAACATACCAAGGTCTTCAACCTAACATTAAAATGTGTTACAGACTTTAGTTCACCAGACAAAGTAGCTAAGCTAATCAACAACCTAAACGGATGTGGCATATTACCTCCATCAAAAGATCAACAGCTTCGGGTTCTGCATTATGCTGCAGGACATTTCAAATAAATTAAAATAAATAAATAACAGTCTTCGACTAACACATCTATATTCCATACAGCTAATATTTTTTTGAGTAAAATGAATGCAATTTATTTTACCTTCATGTGAAAAGCAACTATTTGTTGCACGAGTTGCATGAGATCATCTATAGGAACCTCTTCACCCTGTAAAAGCAATAAAAAAGCCAGAAATTTTCAAATTAATCCGGAACAGGAAACAATCAGATAAATTTCAACAGGTAACACCACTCAAAACAAATAAAAATCATGGGGAGGCCATGGGATAATCAACTTTGCAAATAGATTTAATACTTCAACCCTACTTCTCCAATTACAAACAAAGACTATGGGCAAAGCATATACAGTAAATTATTAAATGAACTGGAGAAGGTGATTCATGTTATTCATTGGATTAATTTAAATATTAACATTAAAATTTGTCAGATGACCAACCTGTCGTTTTGTGTATTCTTGTGCAATTTCTCCCGCCAGATTCCTGATAACAGAAGAAACAAATAACTAGTAATATTAATTATAACTCTTCAGTCAGACTTCAATCACCAGAATTCTAATTTTCCTATAATTATATTCTATAATCATAAAAATGTCCTAAACATCATTATTCTCACCTAACATACTCGTGGCCCCAGGAACCAATATCGCCTTCTGAACCCAGTAATCTATACTTGAGGCTTTCCTGGAAGTCATAGAAATAATCATTACAAAACCTGTTTTGTAAATGTCCTAAAAGGCATCTAGATGAAGGAGCACCACCATACATAACACAGCAAACTAACTTACTCGTTCTCCTTCGGCAGACATTGTAAGCGCCAAAACCGACAATATATCCGCAAGGTATTTCTGAATTGAGAAAAGGACAAATAGGTTAACCAACAGTACAAGCACCATACTACTATTCTGTACTAAGGCAGAACCATATCCATAACAATACCTTCAAATCAGACTCGGCCATAGTTTCATAGTACGCCTTAAGAGTTCCATAATGTGGGCGAAGAAACTTCAACGGTTTAGGAACGGAAGTCATAGAGCTCGTGGAAGATCGAATTTCTTGCCTACAACAAAAACACACATTTCAATTCAAAATAGAAATCAATTTTAAAAAAAAAAACTAAAAATCCTCTTTTAAATAAAAATTTGTTCCATTCGAGCATAAAACTAAGTTTACCTCATGTTCTCGAGTGCAACCTTCTGCAATCCCGTGTCGGAATCCTGAACCCTCTCCACGTACAGGTCCAGCTGCTGCTTCAACGCCAAATCCTCATCGGACTGCACAAATTAACACGGAAACAATCGATATTCATTTCTCTCTTGCACAAAAAAGCCTAACCGACGTCAAAGTTGAGGAAGTAGTGAAATTTTGAAGCACGGCTTTTGGACTTACCAGATCTTCGTTCTCGACCTTCTTCTTCGTAACGGCGTCGTCTTTAGGCGCGCTAGTGCTGGCGCTGGTGCCGGCGCGATTAGGATCGGGCGCCATCGAAAAAATTAGAAACCCTAAAGTGAGTGAGAAAGGAAAGGGGGTTGAACTACGAATGAAAATAATTGAAAATCTCGCGAACTGAGAGTGTTGGTGGTGCCAGAAAATTAAAGGAAGAACCACTTTGGAGGATATAACAGAGAAAGGTTTCTTGTTGCCGAGGAATTTCTCTCTTTAATGGGCCTTCACCCATTTCAAATAGGCCCAGAAAGAAACTCTTTTCCCCTTCATACAAAATTTGATATATTTTCAGTCGTTTATTTTTTTTATTATCTTCTAATAATAAAATATAAGTTTAAATAAATTTTATAATTAGAGTTTATATAATATTTTTATAAAATAATTTTAAATTATAAAGAAAATTCTTTTTTTTTTCATCAATTTAAAAAAATAAAATAGTGTAAAGCCTATCATTTCATCCAAAATCCGTGCAACATGCTTTAGGCTAAAAAAATAATTCACTAATAAAATATATAACAATCATTTATCATGATTTTTTTTTACAAAACAGTTAATCAACTAATAAAAATCCAATTATATGATATTCCTTTATGATTATTTATTCACATTAATATATGCATTTACTTTTATAGGATTTTAAATGCGTTATTACGTTTATAAATTTTTTTCTCAAAATTCGTATCAAAATCATCCAATCTTTTCCTAAATCTTCCACATCAAATCATAAACATTTCTAAATTCATATCATAACTCCACTATTATTCAATTATAATTTTAAAAGGTCTTAATTAGACACCTTTTACTTAAAATAAACTTTAATTTATCAATTTATACATATATAAGAAGAATTAAGAATAAAAACTATATTCTAACTATTATATTTGTAAAATATATATATATACCTTTTAATACATTTTAAAACATTATTCAATTGATGACTCAAGAACACTATTGGGAACGTGATTTATTTTAACGTGATAGAATTGAAAAAACCTATAAAATAATTACACAAATCATATTTGTTCCGGATTTATTCGACATATATTTCCAAGGATAAAATAGGATTATTTTAATTATAAGTGTAAGGGATGGGGAAGAATAATGTGCCCAAAATAATAGGCCCTCGCAGCTGTCAGGCCCAATTATTTTAGCAGTTATGGATGTGGGCTTGAGGTTTAGAGAGGTTGTTGTGTGGCCCATGAAATAAAGGAATCATGCCAAAAAAAAAAACGTAAACCCGATATTTGTGGGTAAAATCTTTGAATAGATACAAACATGATAGATTAAATCATTAAAGTAAAAGTTATACATAAACGAAATATTAATGATTAAATAATTATTTAAAATAATTGGGGTAGCAGGTTTTGATGTGATGGGAGAGAAAAAAAAATACAAAATTAATAATATCAAAATTAGTGGTCAACAAATAAATGATACTCAATCTGATTCTGGTACTTCAGAGGTTGTTGTTCATGCTGCATTCCATTGTTTTTTACCAAGCAGGTTGCAAGTTCTACATTTGATTTCAGTCTATAACAAAGCTGAACCATCAAGAAAAGGTTTTCAGATGTGCACCTCGTTTGAAATGAAAACCACGTTACTTTTGCTGATTGAGGCCCAAGCCCAATTAGGTTACTGTTGCTGCATCACCAGGTGTGGCGGTTGCAAGTGTGACAACTTGTCTCTTACGTGACCTTCTATATATCCACATGTGTATGTCTGACCTAAATCCAATTAGGTTCAATCCTCCTCATCAAAGCCCAATAACCCAGCCCAATAAACATCATCACTTTCAGCCAAACCAAAACATGGGCCCTACCATTGTGAAATAACTTACAAAATTTAAAAATATGATATTCTTCCTCTAATATATATATAACGACGGAGACTTTTGGAAGGATGTAGTCGCAGTAGTATGACATGTCCCTCAAAAAATTATAATGTAACCCCATTTTTTTTTATTCCCTTAAATTTTGTTATCTTTTGTTATGTTAATATTATTAAAAAAATTATTTTATTTTAATATTTATATCTTGTTCTTTTTAAAAACTATCTAATTCCGTCCTAAATTTAACGAAGGGAAAATATTAAATTAAAAAAATTAAAATAAATATACAATATAGAAAATGTGGACAGTAAATATTTTAACATATGAATTTCCACTAATTACATAATTTATACTTTAAGTTTATATATGTTAGTGAAAATTTAAGCGTTATATAATTATTTCTTTAATTTTTTTTATTTTTACTTTGTTATTTATTTCTCTCTGGATTATAGTTTTTTTTTTCTCTCATTCTTTAAATATATCTCACATTATTTCTTCACTATTTGTACATTGTTTTTTTTTTTTGTCCTATAACACTAAAAGCAGGGGAATCCCTATTATATGTACTAGTTGATATATTCTAGTTGAAATACAGACGCTTGTTGTACATATTTTTTTATATTATTAATTTTTTCAAATAATTATTTTTTTTATGATATTTTATATATGTTACATTTATTTTTTATATTCTCGTATATTTATTTTATTTCCTTTTCTTTCCAAATACACAAATTGTTTTTCCTTAATTATTATATCTTTTTTTTTCTTAATCCACTATCGTATATTCCTTCTTCATTATACATGTGTTTTTTTTTCACTAGTTAAAAATTGAGAATTCTTTTTATATATAATATAAATAATATAAACTAGTGGAAACATTGGTGCTTTAACACGTGTTGATGCATATCATACATTGATGGTGGAACGATTATGAGTTAGATTTCCTATCAGTAATAGGCATGAAGTCGTATTGGTGACTTTAGACAGCATGAAGTAGGGTGAGAGTGAGTCCCTTTGTAGTTGAATGGATCGATTTGTCTAAATATCAAACACAATATCAAATTTACACCCCAAGGTGACCATATAGGTGATACTAGTTGCTTTAGAATCCAACTCTTTGATGGACATCGATGATCCTTGATGAACTATCACTACAAGAAAATCATTTATTTCTGACGGATTTTTACCGACAGAATTATAACGGTCAGAAAATAAGTCATTATCGACAAAAATTACCGACAAATAAAAAATATTTGTGAAATTTGATCTTACCAACGGATATATCCGTCGGTATATTAATAATTAGTTACCGATGGATCAGTCGCCGTCAGTAAATACATCATTACCGACAGAATTTACCAACGGATATAAAGTATTCATAAAATTTGGTTTTATCGACGGAACATATATATCCGTCGGTAAATACAAAATTAAATACAGACGGATATATCTATGGGTAAATAAATGATTAATTACCACAGTTATTTTCTCTTTCTCTCGCGGCCTCTTTTCCCTCTCTCTTACTACGAAACCTTCTATCACTTGCTTTCTCTCTGTGTAATCCTCGCTCTACCTCTTCGATTCTTCTCCCTGCCCTCGCTCTTAGGTTTTCGCCTATTCTATCCCTCTCTTGATTTCTATTAACCAATTCTATCCCTCTCTCGATTTCTATTAAACCATTTTTTTTCTAATTGAGTTTAATTAATTGTGCAGGTTTGAAGTTATGCTTCGTGTCTCATTGGAACAGGGACGAAGAATGTATTCAATGGTAATTTCTCTTGCCCGGTGTTTTTTTTTTTTTTTTTTTAGGGTTTCGATGTTTTGGATGGGAAAGGAGGTAAATGGAATGCGATTCCATGTGGTTTTCAAAATTGGATGTGGAATTCGATGGATTGCTTGTTTGTTTGATTAAAAAATTTTCTATGTGGTTTTGTCGTGTTTTGGTGTTATTGTTTTTTTCGTGATGTGAGTGTGGACCACTAGGGTTTACTGTGTTTGGTGAGTGTGGATGATTAGGGTGCAATGAAAACGAGGGCATTGGGGTTTAAAGAGTGTTGAGGGCATGAAAAGTAGAGAAAGGCATGTGGGTAACTGTGCTGAGTTCTATTTAGAATCAAAGAAATGGAATCATTTTCTATAATGAAAGAGTAGATGCAGAGAAAACATTTACAGTTGCCTCAGCTAAAGGCATGGTCCTGCGTCACTAATATAGTACTAAAAGCTTGTTTGACATAGAATATATTCTGATTGGTGTATTAATACTTTATCTTGTATGCAATATCTTAGTCTTAATTCTGATGTTGAGTGTGTGATGAGAAACTATCATAGAGGGAGGTAGTATTAATTATTGAAGGCTTGACAGAGGTCATATGTACAACAAATCATATAAGAAATGGGAGAAAAGTAGGGTTGTCATGATATACGAGGAATATCAGTATATTTATATATAAGATGAGGGATAGAGATGACAGAGGAGTTAAGTTGTGTTTAGAAGTTGAGTGGTGTATGAGGGATGAAGTTTGGAGAGGTATTATCATATCTAATTTAACCTTATTAAAAAAAAGTTTATATCTTGAAAAAAAGATAAAATAAAGAATTAAAGGTTGGAATAGGGGTTGAGAAGATATGATACATGAGCTGATTTTGATCGCTAGGTTAATGATATTGGTTAGGTCACTCAAGTTTTGTTTATTTGTGTTAGTTTGTGTTGAGTGTTGGATTAAAATGATGCAGAGATATGGTAATCATGGTTGAAGTCCAAAAGCACATTGATTTGAAGTCCAAAAGCGTGGGACCTGCATGAAGTCCAAAAGCAAATAAATAAAACCTATGAAAACTGAGACATGCACATTGATTTGATGTTTCTATTATATTATCCCAAACAAAACCATATATAATGTTTATTAACGTGGGATTTGTCTATTAATTAATCAACTTTATTGACTTGTGGAGAGCTAGTTACAACTTTGGCTTGTGGGTCAAAATTTTGACTTGTGGAGAGCTAGTTATAGCTAGGAACTTTATTTTGATTGACTAATTATAAATTTTGGAACAGAACATATCATTACATATTTACTTTGACATTTAGGTTGCTTGTTGTTGGGTTGTAGATATCATGTTTAGAATGACTGAAAATGAGACATATTTGATGAATTCCATTTGTTAGAATTATGCAGCAGACCATGTAATTATGCAGTAGACCATTTGTAAC